TAGTACACGCGTGCTTCTAGCCCTGCTTCGGGTCCCAGTCTCCGTGGAACGTATAAATAGCCCCATAGATCATAGCCATAGTTCCTCAGTCTGCAATACAAAACCTCCTTGTCTTGAACCTGCTCTCGCTCATTTATTTACACGCTACTCTCGTTCCTATCTATCTGCCTGCCCAGAACTTGACAACACCCCTCTCGTCCGGCACCATAGTAATGATTTGTACCCGCACAGATAGGCTCGAATCCATCCAGCCGTCGAAAGCGCAATGCACGTGAGCGGGCATGTGGCTAAGGCCGGCCTTTGATTTTGCCTATAAAAGGCAATCGTGGCTCGGCTCTTGCCATTGCTTCTCTGGCAGGCTGGGGACAAACTCGACCCTCTACTAACGGATAGATTTTTGCGCACAAATCCCCTGTAAATCGGTGGTCCCCGCACAAACTCCATGTAACAATAAAGTTTCCCTCAGATTTTTTTTTCAGGCACGGTCTTTTTTTTTGGTTTTTTTTTCTGCCTCGGAACCCTTTTCTCTTCTCATCTTCCTCTTCTTCCTCGTCTTCTTCTCTCCCCACCATCCTCCCTCAAGTCATACTGTACTTCTACACCCTCTATACCCTCCATACCATCCATACCCTCCAAACTCTTCCTCTATACCATTTTACGGAGCCGTCTACCATACCGACGCCTCACAGGTACGAGCCATGTTTCGTTCTTTCTCACGCGTGTATCGGTATATCCAACCTCTTTCTCACGCGTTGTATCGGTGTATGCCAACCTAGATAGCCTAGACCAACTAACCATACAATATTCCGTGTGTGGACCCTTCAGTGTATCTCCATACTCTTTCCAAGGTAGGTTATCGTGCTTCATTATCTCGCATTCACGTCGTGTCATTCTTAACAATACAGACCATCTAACCCAGTGTTCATTTTTGTTTTTCTTTCTTTTTTTTTTAGCATATTAATCTGCTGAAATGGCTGCTCCTCCTCCCTTTCCTCCTCACCTTCCTATTCCTTGCCAAGGCAGGGCTGCTGAACGCTGTCTGGGTACGGACGTGAATGGGAACCTTGCTATCCTTCCTCTTCCCCCTCCCTTTCTTCCTCTTCCCTCTCTTACTCCTCGTCAAGTCAGGGTCGCTAAACTCCGTAGGCAGAAGGCACTAGAAGTCAGACTGGAGAAGTGTTTTGCGGAAATGAGCGAAACCAGGGCAGAAAAGATCATAAGTTTAATGAGCATGATGAATTGCACGATGCTGCAGCTCATGAGACAGTGCTTTACCTCACACGATCCGCAGGACACTAAGGCTGCCATTGTAATAGCAACAAAACGAAGGAAGGAACAAGTGCAGGAACAAGAGGACACGAGGTAGGAACACGAGAGGCAGGGGACAAGAGACAAGGGCTAGAACGGATGATCTTTATTATACAGAGAGATAGAGGTATTTATACTAATATACAGGGGGCGCAGTGGTGGAGGCGCGGTGATGGGGGCGTGGTTGAGGGCTAAGCAGAAGGTTAGCCTAGGATACTATCACACACGGACGCAAAAAAGTCATTCAGGGACACCATCGTGAGGATCGCATCAAACATAACTCGAGAGGAAATAAACCGTGCCAAGAATGCCGCCTGTTTCAAAACGCCATCTTCAACATTCACCCGACAAAAGGCAGTTAATTTTTCGCTCAAATCCCTTTCAAACGACTTGCATTCGAAGGCACCGCATCTTATGTCCATCTTAGGAGAGATGACGAGCTTGAGCAAAGGCAACGGGCGTAGTCAGTCAGTCATACTTCCATTACTTGGAAGCATGATTTTGAACCTTCATTATCGTAGCTGCATAGGTTGCAGATGGTTTTGGGTCTTTTCCTTTTCAGTAACGGAACTCCAAAGCAGGTCGTCGAGATCTTTTGCCGCTCTGGTTTATCGGTGTCTCCCAAAACTACAGATCGAACACTGGAAGTACTTGGAAAAGACTCCATAAAGAGAGCACAGGAGGCCATGAGGACGAAACCCTGCAGTTTAGTCTACGACAACATAAATTTCGCACTTCGAAAATCCGACCAGCGCTCCAACAACGTCGACAACTTCGAAAGTGGCACTGCCGGGACACTTATACGGGGCGAGGATCCAGGATTACCAGATCTACGGACTGACCAAGAGATTTCGCGAAAATTCAGCCCAAGGATCTACGCATCTTAAGTGCAGACAATGTACATGCTGATTTAGTCTTGCGGAACATTTTCTCCGAGGTAAAGTTACTTGAATCGCTTCATACATGCGTTTTTTGGCTGGCGAATACAATTGGGATAGTGTGCCAGTGTCTAATATACAGTGCCATTCAAAACTGAGCCAATGTTTTACAAATTTTTACTCTGAGAGCTGATACTCACAAACTAGCGATCGGCTTACCTTGGGAATTTGTAGGAATGTTCTTTAGCCATTATAGAAGATGTTTATAAAAGATGAAGTCATTACCAGCAACCGTTGTAAAGTTATAGTCGTCGGTGGAGGCCACGTCATTGGCTCAGTTTTGAACCATACCCGTTAAAAAATACAAAACGTAGTGTTATAAATCTTTTTACATAAACAATGGATCGCTTTCTTTTGTAAATAGCTATATCTTTACACGGTGTGGTGTGGTAAACCCACACGGAGTATAGACGGGGTATCCAGGTACAAGGGACGGACACAACACCTGATATGACACGATGGGAGGAATAAGTATAGGATACTCATACGATCATACCAGGCGCGTGCTGCAGGTGCAGTTACAGGATGTGCAAGTAGAAGGACATGCAATTAGACAAGAGTCAATAGGGTTTGCATTTATAGAAATTTCCTTTGGTCAATAAATATCACAGAACGACTGGACCAAATGGTTCCTGGTCTGTTTTCTCACTATACTTTGCTCAACACTTGCCCCCGCACGACATTCCAAGTCGCTCCACGCATCCCTGTCACAACACACTGTACCCTTCGATCGGTATACTCTGCCACAGCTGGCCTTCATAGCATATCGCCCAGCAAGAGTAGAGACGGGACCCGTGCGTCTGAACTGCTGCACCTCTAGTGCCCCCCCCAAGTGTTCCTGCGAGTCCGCTCACATTACCTGCCTGCCCCCACGACAGGTAATGAACATGGTCTCATAACGAACAAGAGCGGAGGATCAAGAACAGTACCCCTCGATGCCGACGTCTGGACACAGGAGTCAAGACAGAGTCCCTTTGACCTTGCAGATCCCTAACCCGAGTGTGTTGTCGCCTTTCTTATTCTCGTAAATAGTTTTGCTGTCTTTATTATCCTCATCGTTGAAAGATCTCTTACCAGTGCCCCCACATCTGGAGCTTTATTCATACACCGTAAGATAATTACAGTATGGTGCAAAACTGATTCAATGATGCGATGATTTTTGCGTTGGCACTCGCCTACAAGGAACCAATGTCTCAGCCATCGTCATATTCACCACAAATGTAGCCCATCCAATGACGAACAGGGCTGCTTGCTTTGGAGCCAGAAGTATGCACACCCATTGCTGCATGACGATTGTGCCATCCGTCATCATTGAATCAGTTTTGCACCTACTCCTTGAATACGAAGAACAGATTTTTTTTTTATTCAAAATGGTACCTCTTTAGTACTTAGTTTGCTTGCCCTTCGCTCTATGGACCGCGCTGAGCCTCCTCGGCATGCTCCTGATGAGTTCCCGGCAGAAATCAACTGGTATCTTGTACCATTCCGTTGATATTCTCTCCCATAGCTCCTTGCAGCTTTTTGGCGGATTTGGATACTTTCCCAGCTGTACTTTGAGATAGGCCCACATATGCTCGATCGGAATCAGATCAGGAGACTGTGCTGGCCAATATAGAAGGCGCTCATCAGCCTCAGTCATATGGACGGACTCCAGAAATGCCTTGGTGACCTTGGCCGTATGCTTCGGATCGTTGTCGTGCTGGAAGATGAATTCGTCCTTGGCCATGCCCCACTCCTCGACAGACATCTGTAGATCCTCCTTCAGAATCTGGATATACAACTGGGAGTCCAGGGTCTCATCGATCTTTGCGATATAGCCAGGTCCGTACCATGACATACAAGACCATACCATTACGCTTCCGCCGCCAAACTTGACTGTTCCCTGGACTGTACGGCTTGTCAGTCGCCCCGGAGCGTCGTCCCAGACCCACCTAATGCCATCAGAACAGATCCTATTGATTTTGCACTCGTCTGACCATACAACTGTGGCCCAGTCCTCTTCCATCCACTCTTTGTATTTCTTGACAAACTGCATCCGACCTCTAATGTGCTTTGTTTTGAGTGCTGGTCGCTTGACAATCTTTTGGCCACTAGTCCAGCTTCCCGAAGTCGCCGTCGAACTGTCCACACCGATACAGGTCGTGCCAACATCCTGTTGGCCTCGCTCTTGGCCTCCACGGCAGTCCTAAGAAGTCCGCGCTTCATGTTCAGCTTGAGGTGCTCCACGGTTTCTTGACCAATCTTTCTCGGACGGCCTCCCTTGTTGCTCGGCATGTTTTCTTTGTAACCTGAACGTATTCTGCTAGCCGTTGCCTGAGAGATGGTAAGACGTTGGGCTGTCTCACGAGTGGAAATACCCTCAGACATGAGGCTTATTGCTTCCTTAACAGTGGATGGAGGTACGGGCTTCATTTTTTGCAGATAGATAGAGTAGAATAAGGCAAACAGGAAAACGAAACACAAAATGGGTTCATTTATAATGAATCTGATGAAAACGACGATGGTATTTAAAATTACATAAAAATGAGGTTAAGGTGCAAAACTGATTCAATGATGACGGATGGCACAATCGTCATGCAGCAATGGGCGTGCATACTTCTGGCTCCGAAGCCAGCAGCCCTGTTCGTCATTGGATGGGCTACATTTGTGGTGAATATGACGATGGTTGAGGCATTGGTTCCTTGTAGGCGAGTGCCAACGCAAAAATCATCGCATCATTGAATCAGTTTTGCACCATACTGTACATTCGACGCTATGGTTCTGCGATTGTGGCAAGTGGAGCTAGGAACTGACGATCTGGATGCATTCGGCAAAACTCTTGAGCAGAAGGAGCTCTCAGATATGGTTTCTGAAAGGATCCACCGCCTCATTTCAAGATGTCTAGATCCTGAGCAGAGATGTCAGTTCGGTGTGGCCTCACGTAACGCATTCATCTTCCTCAGAGACACGGCTTTCTACCTGGAGTTGGCCAACGCTATCAAGGTTGGAGATGTGGGACGTATTGAGAGTATGCTGAAATGGATAACGGTGATGTTTCAAGGTTCTTCGGCCACAAACTATGCTAATGAGCTGCTTCATCTGCATTGTGCGCTGAATTACAGGTATTCAGCTCAGACAAAGAGAGCTGTACTGTCTTCATGATTAGTCAACACCACAGGAAAAGCGGGTGGATGGATTCCCACGGATTTATATCAGGAGCATAACAACCTCTTGATCAAGGTTGTGCATTCAGCAAGGGCTAGCTCTACACCCTGGGAGACAATGACGACCAAAATTGCACCAAACATCGAGATTTTTTCAGAGGTCAAGAGAATAATTCCAGCATTGTTCAAGGCTCCACGGAATAATAATTGGCACAACCCCGTTCCAGTAGATATCGACATCAACAAGGTCATTGTGACGCTAAGGGAGTCTGGTATCTTTGAAGCGGAGCAAGGCGACGATGATCTAGACTGCACGATGGACACCAAACCAGTGAGAGATCTCTTCGACATTGGTAATGAAAACATATGTTCACTTAAAAAGTTCCGTATGTTCCGGGCTCGCAACCAAAACTCCAACAGCTATCCGAGTTATCATACCTCAGAATGTGGCAGTCCATACAGTAGTAATGATGGACCACAGCAATACAACATCCTGCCATATTTACAGGATATCCAACAAGACGAACTCCCGGACATGGATACACAGAGCATCTGCTCCAGCAACCCAAGCGATCTGGACTGTGATGATGGCGCTACCTTTGAGAGCTATATTGCTACAAGCGAGGAGCTGGAACTAAGTGCTGTGGAGGAGTACTTAGATCCTACTGATAATAACGAGGACCAAGTTGATGAAGACTTTGATGACCTTTGAAGCTCTTAATAAGACGCTTCAAAAAAAAAAAAAAATCGCGCTCAGTTATTATTGAAGAAAGGATTAGCTGGGTCACTTTGACCGCTGTGTCAAGGGTTTGGTCCTATCGTGAGTGGCGTCTGCGCGCGACCGCTTATAGTCGTCTGTTGGCGAACCTTTGAAGGCGTGTTTCCCGCCTCATATGGTTTCCACTTCAGAATTTTGACGGGAGTCTGCAGACGACTGTTAGTAGCTCTTTGTTGACGACTCTTGATAGGCGTGGAATCCTGTGGCCGATATTGTACCAATTTAATAGGAGTGATAGTGGGCGTGTGCGGTTGACTGATAATAAGTGCCTGTTGACGATTACTAGTAGGCGTGAAATCCTGAAATTGGTAATTTGTCCGTTGAGTGGGAGCTCTAGTGGGCGTTCTCGGGTATTCTTGAGCGCGGTTAACAGTAGGTGTCTGTGGATACTCAAACTCCTCTAAATCCTCTAAATCTGGCTCCTCGATCCGATGAAGCCACAGAACTGGCGAACTCAGCGCATCGACTCCAAATTCTTCTGCCACAAAACTTTCCGTCGTCTCCAAATCGTTCTCGACATGTATCCTTGTGGATGGCGGCTTGTTTGAAGTAATATCGAGCTGACTAAGAACGTCCCAAAGAGTTTGAACTACGGCAACATCCTCAGACCAATCGGCAACTTCCACAAGTTCGAGCGCAGATTTGATACTTCCGAACTTTTTGATGATCCTGTCTATCATTTTGTCCGGCAGCGCGTTTCCAGGTCTGTAGGCGACGCACTGCGTGCGATAGAAACGCTCAAACCGATCCTTTCGCCACTGTTCAATTGTTTCCCTGATTCGTTTGTTGTCATTTTCTGAAATATTGATTTTGTTCTTACGGCTTGGAGGTACCAATCGGGTGCCCATCTGTGCTGGAGTCTCCAGGTTGAGTTGACACTTGTCGCAGCAATTAACGACCTGCACTGGCGTGTTGTTGAAAAATCTGTTGAGGACAGCTTGGCGACACGGATGGGCGTTAATGTATTGTTGGAGATGGCTCTAATCCATTGTTGGTAGTACAAGGCGAGGAAATGTTTTCGCGTATAGTAGTATCCCTTCGTCTTCTAGATTCGGATCGCGTGCAGCTCGACCAATCCTCTGGACAAGTGTTGACAAACTTGAGGGAACCCCATACTGCACTACTCGGACCACATCGCTGATGTCACAGCCCATCCCAGCAGCTTCTGTTGCCAATAATATCCAGTAGTTGTTGTTCGTGAATCGTTTCATGACCAACTCCTTGCGCTCATCTGACTTCCCCGCATGGTAAACGCCGATCCGTTTTCGTAAATGCTCCGGCGCCAGACACCTCAAATATGTCTGAGCGTTCGCACATTCAGCTCGACTATCGAAATAAACGATGGTCTTTTTACCTAAATCCAAGAGAAAGTTGAGATCCTGAAAACTGTTTGCTGGATAACAAAGTGCCTTGGCTGTATACTTGACATTTATTCGATCGTTCCCTTCGTTGATCACCACGACGTCGCTTTTATAGCTCAGGCATACTTTGACTGCTTCCAGGGCCTTGGTCGTGAGTGTCGCTGTCAGGGCTATAAACGCCTTTCTTGGAGATAACCATCTCCGTATCTTCCCAATGTGCCCATATGCTTTCCGGAAGTCGTCGCCCCAATGGTTGATGCAGTGTGCTTCGTCAACGATCACTGCTAGAAGTAGACGTCTCCAATTCTTATTGAACCATATGTCCTTCAATCGAGTACTGTCAAACACCAACTTCGGAGACATGAACACTGCTCGGTATTTTCCTGAAGCCAGCTCCTTGATGCAGTTGCTGTCAATGATCGTCTCCCGCCGGAGAAAAATACTCGAGATACCGACGGCCTTAAGTTTCTGATATTATTCCTTGCCCAAAGCCGTCAACGGAGTCAAGACTACGATTACTCTGTCAGGCCAGAAGATAAGTGGAAGAAAGTACACCAAAGTCTTGCCCCATCCACATCCTGCTATCAAAACGCAGTCTTCGCCTTGACCGATCTTCCTTGCGACTTCGAGTTGCAACGGCTTGGGAGACACGTTGAAAGTTCTCAAACAGCGTTCAACGGCGTCTTCAGGAAGAGAAAGAGGAGAAGAGATAGCAAGGTTCCCATTCACGTCCGTACCCAGACAGCGTTCAGCAGCCCTGCCTTGGCAAGGAATAGGAAGGTGAGGAGGAAAGGGAGAAGGAGCAGCCATTTCAGCAGATTAATATGCTAAAAAAAAAAGAAAGAAAAACAAAAATGAACACTGGGTTAGATGGTCTGTATTGTTAAGAATGACACGACGTGAATGCGAGATAATGAAGCACGATAACCTACCTTGGAAAGAGTATGGAGATACACTGAAGGGTCCACACACGGAATATTGTATGGTTAGTTGGTCTAGGCTATCTAGGTTGGCATACACCGATACAACGCGTGAGAAAGAGGTTGGATATACCGATACACGCGTGAGAAAGAACGAAACATGGCTCGTACCTGTGAGGCGTCGGTATGGTAGACGGCTCCGTAAAATGGTATAGAGGAAGAGTTTGGAGGGTATGGATGGTATGGAGGGTATAGAGGGTGTAGAAGTACAGTATGACTTGAGGGAGGATGGTGGGGAGAGAAGAAGACGAGGAAGAAGAGGAAGATGAGAAGAGAAAAGGGTTCCGAGGCAGAAAAAAAAACCAAAAAAAAAGACCGTGCCTGAAAAAAAAATCTGAGGGAAACTTTATTGTTACATGGAGTTTGTGCGGGGACCACCGATTTACAGGGGATTTGTGCGCAAAAATCTATCCGTTAGTAGAGGGTCGAGTTTGTCCCCAGCCTGCCAGAGAAGCAATGGCAAGAGCCGAGCCACGATTGCCTTTTATAGGCAAAACCAAAGGCCGGCCTTAGCCACATGCCCGCTCACGTGCATTGCGCTTTCGACGGCTGGATGGATTCGAGCCTAGGCTCGAATCCAGCCTTCATTAAAGCGTCAGCCACTATTCCCTTTTTCAGAAGGGATGGCAATTTGCTTCTCTTACGGCTGGTTGCAAACTCGGGCGTTTACTATAGCTTATTCTTTTTGGAAGGTTGTTAAGGGTTTCTTGCTTCTCGCCAAAAATTTGTACGTGGATCTGGATCTGTATTACCATGCCTGCATGGTCGCATGGTCTTGCTTTTTTTTTTCTTTTTTTCTCACACGCTACGACTTTAGCTGGCAGAGTCGAATAACATGAAGACTCAAGCTTATTATCCGAGGGCCAGGACCATATATGTGTTATCTTCTTTTATTGAAATAAAACGCGAAAATCCAGAAACTACCCGTAAGGAAAAAATGAAATAAATTCTGCTCGTATACCATGAATGCCTACTATCTTCTCAAAGGAGAGCCAGGGCGTGCAGAAATGAACCAGGGTGGGAAAAGAGGGTGGGACATATATGGTCCTGGCCCTCGGATAATAAGCTTGAGTCTTCATTTTATTCGACTCTGCCAGCTAAAGTCGTAGCGTGTGAGAAAAAAAGAAAAAAAAAAGCAAGACCATGCGACCATGCAGGCATGGTAATACAGATCCAGATCCACGTACAAATTTTTGGCGAGAAGCAAGAAACCCTTAACAACCTTCCAAAAAGAATAAGCTATAGTAAACGCCCGAGTTTGCAACCAGCCGTAAGAGAAGCAAATTGCCATCCCTTCTGAAAAAGGGAATAGTGGCTGACGCTTTAATGAAGGCTGGATTCGAGCCTACTTGTCCTATAGGTTATAGAGAAAGGAAGGTTGTTAAGGGGAATGTCCTCCCGCGATAGATTTCCCGCGCGGTATCCACGCGAACGAACCTTTTTTTGAACGGACGTCTCAATTGAGCAACGACCGTACCTTTTTTTTTCGCAGTCCCCATGAGCTGTTAGAAATAAAAGCAGGATATCAGATATATTTGTGAGTAGAGGGTTCTACAGCCTGCGTAGCGCTTCTGGAGTGCAGGGTGGACTACCTTGCGGTGCCGGTGCAGGAGTTGATGGAGAGGGATTGATGGGAGGAAGGCTGGTGGAGAGTTGAAAAAGCTGTGTGGGAACAAGAAAGAGGAACCATCGAACGTTCAGAAAAAAAAAAAAAAGGTACGGTCGTTGCTCAATTGAGACGTCCGTTCAAAAAAAGGTCCGTTCGCGTGGATACCGCGCGGGAAATCTATCGCGGGAGGACATTCCCCTTAACAACCTTCCTTTCTCTATAACCTATAGGACAAGGTCGAGTTTGTCTCCAGCCTGAAGAGAAAAAAAATGGCGTATGTCCTTTTTAGGCAACTCAATTTTCTTTGCGTGCATTTAGGGAATGCTCGTTTTCGACTCAGGCTGGTCCCGAGCCTAGAGGGGGAGATTGGTCCCAGCCTCTCGTCAGCAAAATGTGAATTTGAGCGGACGAGGTGGCTGGGTTCAGAGCTTCGACTTCTGGCACAATCAAATGGTGGCGCGCCCGCCTCTCTTGCTTTCTTCGCATCTTCCATGGTTCACCCGCACTAGGAGTCATGACCGACCAAGACGCCATGCGCCCTGATTCTTTCAGTCAAGAAATAGCCGATAAGCAGCTGGGATGGGAGCCTGGCTTGTCAGTGTTACCGACCAATGCTCAATTAGGCCTGCAGTACATGGCTCTTGCGTCCATAACGTCCACCGAGTCGGGTAAGTTGGTGCGGTATAGATTTGCATTGCTTTGTTCTTTGTTTCAGGTGGTCCTAACAACTGCGAGGGAGATCAGTCTTGCGTGGCCTACCTTCTCTCAGCATCGCATTCCCAGATTTTAGGCTGATGCAGCCAAGAGACGCACTTGCTCGAGTCATGCTCGTTTCTCAGGGACCATCTCAGCACACGCTCAATTTCCAGTTTGAGTATTTGAAGACGATCGTGGCTGGTGCAAATGTGGCAAACATGTAGGTTTAATGCTATTTGATTTTGTCCCTCTTTAGGATTATTTATCACCAGCGTTTCTAATGTAACTTTTGTTTCAGTCGCTTTCAACCAGCTTTCCAAATTACGACAGCCAAGGATTCGTTTACGCCACGTTTTGAACAATCTCTCTCGTTTTTGGCAGCGACTATTCTCGGCTACTGCACGCAGTCTAACGCAAACAGGACTGATGCCAGTCATAATCTCTCGCTTTCCAGGATCAACGCGTTTGACACCTTGAGTCAGTTTCGAGAATCTGCATCTGCCCAACGAGGAGAGATAATCGGCAGTCCCCCTTCAGTCTTTTCTGGCACAGTCAACGGGATAAAACTTCAGAGAGTTGGCGACGCACCCCTTTCATCGTCGCGAAAAAGGACACTTGACGATAGCGTCGACGAAGACCTCGACCACAAGGGTAGATCATTGAAGAAAGCGAGATCGGAATTGTCTTCAACCGTTGTGGCCACCACATGTGATTCGGCACAGACAAGACATTTAACTATACCTGAAGGCTTCCCAGTACATACTATGGATGCCACAGGGCCTTTCCCGGGTGCGCGAACAACTCCTCTGATTCATGCAACATCGAGTACCCCACAAAGTATCGTGGCACCTGTGACAGGCAACGGTAAGTGCGAGCGCAAAAGGCTGCCGCTATAATTGTTATAGTACAAGGTATTGATGGCCTATCTGTCCCATATTAGACCTCGCGTCGCATTTTGAAGATTCAGCGACAGGATTTCTACAGTGTGTTGCCAATCAAATTAGTGACCAAGGTAGCGATCTACACATAACGCTGTCTTCGGAGCTGAAACAACTTGGACGAGCGGTTGAGGAGTTGGCGAAATATGGACGCGCACAAGATGTCCAAGTCGATATCATGTCGGCACTGCTCAAACATCTGGATACATCCTTACGTAGTTTCGATACAGTCGACGTTCTTTCTGCCTGTGGTCTGGGATTGACCGCGACAGAGCAGGACGGTGGGGAACAAATCAACAAGATTATCGATCACATCATGCACCGCCTGAATTATGTCAAAGTGGCGCTTGTAATGATGAGCACGGAGAGCATTCAGCGACATCTTTTCCCCGAAGAACTACTCATAACATCATTGAACGTAATCAAGTCGCAGCTAGAGACGTTTTTGGCGCCTGCACTGGAGTTCTCAAGAGATGACAGTCGACCCACGGGGTGCTTTGCTTTGTTTACGGCAATAGCTGCAGACGCGTCTCTCAAAGTCCGGATGCTGTCTTTGGTCAGTTCCACCTGTGAGATCTCGGAATGGCTGCGCAGGTCGTGCTGTATGGAGGTCTCGGACGGTGTTTTGGTGAAACTGGTATATACCGCACTATCACTGTTCTTCATCGACACGTCCTCTGACTTGGTACTGGGAAGTGCTGAGACCGAGCCATTAAGGCAGGCGGGATCGAGTCTTTTGCAGATGGTAAGTTAGCCCTCTTGTTATTTTGTAACTGCATCTATCTGGCTGAAGTTACATTGCCTAAGATCATGTTTAAACTACTCTACGTTTAGGTTTTCGCGAAACATACGAACCAGCGGTTGTGGATCTTGGAGGAAATCCTATCCTTACTTATCAAGTTGCCTCATGGAAAGAAAAACTCCAAGGGATACAGGTATGGCATCCTTCTGTTGGAAAGACTCATTTCTAAAAAGCCATTGCATTCGTATGTCGCTTGTTTGTGACCAGTGCTACCTTCTTTGCTTTTCCCTTGCAGACTTGTGGATGGCTCCAAAATATACTCCTCGTCCGCATTGCTCATGCAGCTAGTACAAGCATGTGTAGATAGCCGCCTTAACCCTGCAGCCGTGCTAAGTTTTCCGGAACTTCATCCGTCCACCCAAAGGATCGAGATGAAGAAGGTGCGTGTAAAGATCAGCTCCATTTGTTTATTCGCACACTATGCTATGCCATATCTCTAAATACACCACATCCTCCCTATAGATGCTCGATCGGTTACAGGCAGCACTAGACGATGCAAAGTCGAGCGTTGTCTACATTTTCAATTATCTTCTGACACGCTGCACAAAGGGGACCAAATCGTCTGTCGAAGCAGATTACAGAACCATCCTGGACGGCCTGCTTACGGATCTTCTGGCGGTTGTAGGACAACCAGAGTGGCCTAGTGCGGAGCTCTACCTATCTGTCTTCAGCAAGGCCATGGTAAGTATTTTCGATGAGGCTCGTTGTGCATTGCGGTATTGTGACGAGCTGTATTGATACATTTCTCGCGTTCATGTAGGCCAGATATCTGGATGACGCTAAAGCGAATTCAGTCTCGAAGACCATGGCAGTCGACTCTTTTGGCTTGATCGCAGCGAAGATCAAGACAGTCATGAGACACATCGCAATGGATGACGCAGATGATTGCAATGCCCATAGCTCGAGGGATGACCACCCTTTCTATGCCGAACTTGGTGTCGAAACAAAGCTGACGGATCTATCGTACTTGCAGGCGAGATACAACAGCGTCTTGGAGTACCTGAGTTCTAAAGAGTCAAACGATCATGCCATCAGAGCAGCAAAGCGCTTTTGGATATGCCAATGGACCACAGCAATTTGTTCTGCTACCACACAGGATCTCCAAGAGCATGACTGGGAGAAGAACTGTTGGAAGTTCTTAACGGATGAAGCCTTTCGGTGCTGGAGCTTATACAACAATTCGGAGCGACAGCATAGATCAAAGACCCCGATGGCTCGGAAGGCAGTGTGTTGGAGTTCCTCGTATCTGGTCGCGCGCCAGCAATTGTTCCTCTCGTTCGACATGCTACTTTCACGGATTCTGGTGGCGCTGGATGGAGCAGCTGTTTCTCTCCGTGCTAAATCTCTCAAAGCTCTTTCCTTGATCGTCACTGGAGATTGCGCCGTTCTTGCTCAACATAACGTGTCCAGGACCATAGCGCTCCGCTTACAGGACCAAAGCCCATCGGTGCGTGATGCTGCCACTGATTTGGTTGGCAAATATATGCTTCAGGACCGAGTGATAAGGAAGCTGTATTATGATATTGTGAGCGATAGGATCTCGGTAAGAACACTGTTTTTTCTCTCAGCTTACTTTCTTTCTATTTTCCTTCTCTACTTCTCGTTCTCCATGTGGAATTTTTTTTATCTGACACGCTATTTTCGCGCTAGGACACTGGCCTGAATGTACGCAAGCGCGTTTTAAGATTGCTAAGAGACATGTACTCCATGGCAGACAGTCAATCGATACGGATTGATATCTCGCAGAAATTATTGCTCAGAGTTTCGGACGAGGAGGCGACCGTCAAGGACCTGGCTATCAAATGTGTCAATGACGTCTGGTTTCGCCAATTCTTTCGGTCGACTGAGCTTGCGAAGGTGGATAGTTTTGAGGCTTCGGAGGCGACAGCGATATTCGGAACCATCGCCCCTTCTCAGAAAAGAGAAGTTTCAAAACATACAAGAACTTTGGTTGACATGGTCAGCCAGCTACCCACGCCCTTATACGACGCTTTCACTTCTGTTGTTCAACACCTTTTAAAGAAGGAGCGTGGACATGGCTCATTCGATCTCTCACTACCAGGACAGGAGTTCACCAGATCTTGCGTGATAATTGTAGAGTGTCTTGTTGACCTAATCCAAACTCTTCAGGACGAGGATTCCCACAAATCCGCCGTAATATCAACAGCACATACACTTCACACGTTCGTTAGGTGCGAGCCACGACTCATCAGTGCGAAAAACCTTGGCGCTCTTTTAGTCTACCTTCACAGCGCTACGACGTCCGAAGACTGGGAGGTCACCATGTTTGTGTTACGAGTGTATCAGGACGCCATTCCTGTTGTCCATGATATGCCCATAGCGGAGTCCGAGACCGCTGAGAAACTGACCCTGGCGCTTATCGCGAAGTGCCCTGTTATTTTACTCCCTGAAGCGGTATGCGTACTTTGTTTGGTTGTCAAAATTCGGACTGTGAACTCTGGGCGCCTATGCAGGTTTTTCCAGACATGCGTGGACCTTCTAATCGAGGACACCGAAAAATTACGCGCCGGCGTGAATATTCAAGAAAACAAACTGCGCCGTCTGACGACCATCGTAGGGCTGATTTGTAGACATTTTCCCTTCGAAAAAGTCATCAAAGCTCGCTCACAGGAGACACATTTGACGGAGCTCAGAGTAAAGATGGAGCCAACCGTGCAGGAATTTGTGTTTGACATCGTTGCCCAACTTTGTCGATCGGACTACTCGCAAGCGTTGCAGCAGACAGCTCTCCAGAGTTTGGGTAAGGAGACTGCAACAGACTACTGCCTGAAATGTTGAATGTGTATCTTATCGTTTGATGCCCATATTGTTTAGGCTACCTGTTTTTGTCTTTTCCCATGTTGATGAATTCGTCCAAGGCTCTTCACATTATGGATCGAATCTTTGGTGACGCGGACTCGGAGCTTCAAGCGGAACTACTCCAGATATACACTCAATTTCTGGTCAAAATCCACAGTGCTCCTACGCCAGGTCCAGATCAGGACCTGTTCTACAGCTTGATCGCCAAAGCAGAAGATCATCTCGGGGCCGGGGTAGGAAGTGCCATTATGCAGCGTTATCTTGATCGTGTGCTGCGCTGCGCGCTTGCGGACAATGAGAGGTTACAAGCTGCTGCTGTGAATGTGATATCCCAGGTGACATTGCAGGCTCTTGTCCATCCGATATTATGCATGCCCGCTATCATCGCCTTAGAAACAAGTGAGGACACTTTACTGAGTGGACGCGTACTCAAAACTCACCGAGAGCTCCACCACAAGCACGCGTCATTGATCTATACAAGGAGCCTCGAGTGTGTTCGGACGATGTACTTGTATCAGATGCGTGTACAGGAAGCCAGAGGCGAGGTACAAGGTAAAGGCGATCACTTTACTTCGAGAGATTTTCAACTGCATGCAACGAACATAGCCTCTGGGGCTAACTATCATAGCGTCCCGTTTGTTTTTTGCGCTGAAGGGTTCCGGATAAATCCGGAGACTGGTAATGCAGTCGCCTTACTGAATGTGATGTATAGCTTGGTTGAGGACAAGAGACAAACGAGAAATACGCTCTTGTCGGGCCTGGTCAAAGTGCTGGATGTTGATCTGACAACAAGTGATATCGAGGTACATCTGGGCGTCATATGTTTGACACAGCCTACCATGTTCCAGCCATTGTAATATCTAGTGACCCTTACTTATATGGACACTCTTCCCGTATTGCAGGTTGACGGCAACTATGCACGGTTCATTGCTGAAAATCTGGCCTATCTGGAATACAGGACAACGGAGGAAATTTATTTAGTGATCTTCTACATAAACAGGATCATCGCAGGTGCAGGAGTAACGATTTTGGAGAGTTTGACAGCTACATCACCGGATTCCGCGCAAAGCTGTGGCGACAAGGCGTCGAGAGTCGCGAGCTCCAGATTGCGCCGGCTTTGCAAAACTCCCGTTGAATCCACAATGAGTTCAGCCGGCAACAATACTCGTAAGACGAAACGCGCAACACAGCCGAACGCAATTGCCGCCGGTGGTTCAAGCGACGAGGGAGCGGACGGTATGCAGAGCGGCGAAGATGCACTGCCTTGCGGACAGGGTAACGGAGAAGGAGGTGGTTATGAACCGTCTCTCCCCACCTCTGTACTGGCAAAGGCCAGCGTCGCAGTGGAGACGGCTATCCTCCTCAAAAGCTACTTCAAGCGGATTTACGATATAACTGAGACGAAGTCCCAGCATTTTCAGCCAACTGCGCATGCGAGTCACAAGGAGAAACCTTCGCCGAGGTTTAAGGGCATACTAGCGCGATTGCAATGGCCATGGAAAGCAAAGGAAGCCGATGCCATTTGTGGTCAAAAAAATGTTACCGTGGGTGAGAGCATTAGGCAGGACTTGATCAGGAGTCAACTTGTGCGGTTCCGAGGGTTAATGGAAGCAGAAACTGTGCAACAATTGCCAAACATGGAGGAGAACGAGATTCCGCTGGTACAAATATCACGTCCATCCGGTGTTCATGTTCACAAGCCCGATCCATTGTATGACGAAGCCGATGAATATGATGGTGTAGAGGACTAGGATGGCCCCTTTTGCATACATCACATCGCACATTGCACATTGTTTTAGCATGCAGGCGGCCATGTCCGAGCGGAGCACTTGTTAGTTGAAGTCCTGATTAATATTCATTCTCAAGAATAAAGGGGTCCACAGGACCCTCTGTTCTCGCTGTAACCACAAGAATTATTAGAAAGGGGGAAACCAAGGTTGGGGCAATCCAGAAGATTTGTGTCCATTTTCGGTGCAAGCTGCTTTATATAAAAAGGCAGCAAGTTGCAACTCAATGCTCAACACTCGCCAATCCCGCCCCGACCTTGATCACCAGTAGTGCACTCTCAGCAAGGTCTTATTCTCAGCAAGATCTTATCCTCAGCGAGATCTTATCCTCAAATTCCAATCTCATCATGAGACTATCCACACAAATGCTCTCACCTGGTGGAGTTGCCCTAGTCTTGCTCAGCTTGCTCATTTTCCATACGACAGCCAGTGCAGATGCACCACCCCGTGTTCACAGGAAGAATCAAGGCAACAGTCGCATACAGCAAGACGAACTGGCATGGCCTGAGTTGCACAAAATGATCGGCGTTGATTATCGACCAGATGGCTCCTCAAAGCTGGGCTACGGACAGAGCCAGCAGGTGGAATTCGAAATCACGGGCGTTAAAGATGATAATAAGAATCCTTCTTCGACAAGATCAAGGCAGAAGTTCAAGAGTGAATTTCAGTCTAAAGACAGATGCCTACTGTTCGTGGACGAGTTTGATAAGCTGGACAACTCGGTTTGGAGGGTGAGGAAACATTCAAATTTGGCATGGTGAAACCGAGGCCTGTAATAAAGAGCAAACACTAACGCGCTATAGCATACCGCCATTTTCTGTTAGCACGACCTTACCTTGACAGGCGGAGGGTAGGATTTAGTTGAAATACTCGGTCATTAGATGACCTTTGATAAGATATCGCGAAGTCTAATTTTTTTCTTTTTTCTACAGCAACTTTGAAGTACAGGCGTACATTAACAACCGCACAAATACCTTTGTGAAGGATGGTATTTTTTACATCCGCCCTACGTTAACCGAGCATCGCATTGGTGCTGAGGCTCTTCGCGAAGGTGGGGTTCTTGATATGTGGGGTACGGATCCTGGAACCCAGTGCACAGGCAATTATGACTATGGCTGCTATCGGGTAGCCGGAGCTGGAGGTAACATTCTGAACCCGATCCAGTCTGGGCTTGTTCGAAGCGCCAACAGCTTCAAGTTCCGGTACGGAAGGGTTGAAGTGAGGGCAAAGATGCCAAAGGGCAAGTGGATTTGGCCTGTAAGTCCTTAAAATCGAAGCCATTATTTCAAAAGAGGCCATGGCTATACTTAATCACCGAACTTGTTCTCCATTTTCACCTCCACAGGCAATATGGATGCTACCAGCGCACTATCAGTATGGAGGTTGGCCTGCTAGTGGTGAGATTGATTTGGTCGAGTCCCGAGGAAATGGCCCTGATTATCCTGGAGGAGGATATGACAAGGTTGCTTCGACTCTCCATTGGGGTACGATCACACAGTGCATAGAAGTGTACACGCTTTATACTAAACCTGGGAATCTAATATTGTGCGAACTATACAGGTCCATCATTTGAATTTAACAGGTACCAGATGACTCATGCAGAATATGCGCTCCCTGACGGAAAGAGCTTTGCGGACGACTTCCATGTATTTACATTGGACTGGCGGCCAGAGGGTATCAAGACATTTGTGGACGACAATCTGTTGCTTGATGTGTCTTTCGATGACATGTTCAAGAAGGGGAACTTCCCTTCATGGGTCGACAATCTGTGGGCTGGGTCCAAATCAGCGCCCTTCGATCAAGAGTTCTATTTGGTATGCTTTGCAACTCAATCGTTCGTGAAATTGTCAGGAAACAAGAAGGGGAGAAAGTAATGCATCTTATTCGTGCAAAACGCTGACTCGAGCAATATTTTTTCATGGCATTTATTGCATACTTGTAATGGCTTTTTACGCATGTTTTCAGATGATGAACGTAGCTGTTGCAGGAACTGCAGGGTACTTTCCAGACGGGGTGGGCGGCAAACCTTGGAACGACAAGTCACCGCATGCAGTGAACGAGTTTTATGCAGCCAAAGACGACTGGTATCCGACCTGGGGTTCAGAATCAGGAACAGATCGCGCCCTTGCGGTAGATTATATTCGCGTGTACAAACACAGCTGTTCGGCACAGAAGTAGTAATAAACAATTCTTGGACTTTATCTTCGTTTTTTCATTTAAGCAGGGAATGACGTCTCGTAGCCTATGGTACATGTTCGCCGTAGCCATTGCTATGTGCTGTATTGAGACCATTGCTATCACTACTGCCTCCTCCGCCGATTGTACGCTCATGATACTGCGTCCTTCCGTATGAGGGGGAACCCCTCGAAGAGGATGAGGTGTCTGCTGCGGGAGGGAGAGGAATAGCGCGGTCATGGTATGAGTGGCTGCGGGAATGGGTCCTGCTCTGACTTGCTGGGTGGTAAATATGTCGCAATTGCTGGTGCTGATGGTGTGCATTAGAGGGCGGATAGGAGTATGAAGGGCTCTGGTCATGTCCCGGCTGCCGATATTGGTCATTATGCGCGTGGTCTGCGGCGGACGCTGTTGACGATGCCAGGGGGCTGTTGCCTGTGCTTGACACGGACACTGTTCCCTCAGGGCTCGTCAGTCGCTTTGTAGCTCCAGTACTGGAATCCAATGGCGACTCTGTTCTCCCCAGCGATGCGGATTTGGACTGGAATATCGCAGGCGAGGGCAAAAACCGATCAAATTCGAGAGGCCATGGATATCCTGGTAAGTACTTCTTGTTCTCGTTCTCCATGTCCTCGAAGTCATTGTCTTCCAGGTCGGAGACATCGTCCCAGTTTTGCAGAAATTCCGCTGCAGGGTCTTCCTCCGCAGGCCTAATCCATATCTCTTCTCGTATCCTCTTGTGCTACATCAAGGAAGAGAACAATAGATGATTAGCATAGGTTGAGCCAGGGGCATTCACAACGGACCATAGACACCAAAACATTAAAGCAACATTCCTTACCCGCTCTCTATCCTCATCCATCCGCCTCAAAATGTCCTCCTTTGTGAACCCTGCCTCGGTTGTAGCTACTGCATTTGCGCTTCGTAGGGACACAATTGTGTGGCAATAGAAATGTTAACTCCTTGATATCTGCGTATTTTGAACCCCTTTTCAACAATACACAAATGAAGCTGTTGCCTATTCCTCTTACCCCAGCTCCCTCGAGAGTAGTGGTTTCTCCACTCTGTCGATCACAGATTCATGGAATACTTTTTTTGCCCGCCACGAATCTAGGATCTAAATGGATCGGATAAGTAACGACTTTTTCGTTACACTTTGCCGCCAGATAGCTGCATGTTTATGTTTTGTTTGCGTAGAAGTTATCTTTGCAGATCGCTCACCTACCTTCCTGGTGCCTGCAACATTGACGTTTCCTTTTGGTCCGCTAGGGTTCACGCACTCCACGATCCTGGGTAGGTTCTTTTGAATGAGGTCCGTATACCCTGAGAACCCTGCCTTGTGGCTCTGATGGCAGATCAAGTCGAGCACATAAAAGATATTCATCTTTGCATTGATAGACGGGGTCTAGTATTTTATCGGTAACAATGGAAAAACAAGAGCGCATAGGCAGCACCGTGTATGCACGGGGAGTCAGAGTCAATATTATGATTTCATGCCGTGTGTATCGCACGCCAGATTCTAGTCCAGATCGTGGTAAAGATGTTCAGCTCATCCGCGTGAGGGGACATGCCACTGAAGGCTAGCGTCCCCGCTAGGAGCCGCAGAAAAGCAAGCACATAAAGGACAAAGCTGAGAGATCTTTGGGGGAAGGCTGGATTGGGCTGAGTCAGCGCTTTGGGTGGACCAGTCGGAATGCCATATAGGTAATTGAACGCACAATGTGAATGCATGCTCTTTGTTGCCAATGCTTTACATATTATTTCTTCCAGCTTTTTTATATCCAACGCGAGTCTCGTAGTCATTTTATTTCCAAAACGAACAGCAGGAAAAAACAAAGGCAGCAAATGAAGTGAGAGTAGTGCTGTGAGTGCTTTACGTGCGGTGCAGAATAGAGAAATGATGGACTTCCTGGCAGTCAGGAGCATCTCCTGTAAGGCGAGTGTCCATCCTCGTGTCATTGGCATCTCTGAAAGTATTCGAAAAGGTCGAGCGGGGAAGCAGGCGAGACAATATAACGGGATGATAGACATCGCTACGAGCCAACATAGTAAATAAAAGCAAAATGTCCTCACCTGCTCCAGTTCTTCGATGATACAGCTGTAAAGATCCTCGTAGAGATTTCTGTTTCTCATGGCAAAATTGCCAACCTTTTGTATCGAATGCTGAGAGGCGTTGAGCTTGCCCAGCAAACTTAGAAACTCCAAACGTGCCTCGAACGGATCGACCTCCATCGTATTGGGTTTCTTCGCGCTTCGATGGGTTGATGACGGTCGTGTATTTTCTGCTTGCTCGGTCGGAAATGGTAAGCGTTGCAACCGCGTATTTCTACCGTGTTCACCGTCGATTCCTGTTTTCCACTCGAGAGATGAGAAGTTCAAAAGGTGAAAAGGTGAATATTGGATGGCCTGCATGAGAAGAACACAAAGCCGTACATCCTGAGGAAAAATATTCGCCAGGCCAAGTGCGTGGCTTTGCTCGAGGACCCTCGATCTTTTTTTTTTTTTTTGGTGGCAACGTAATTTATTAATGATCAGTATTCGAAAAGAGGGCATACTTGAACGAGGACGCCAGGCCTTCTCGCCGTCAATTGCTCCAGTACTCCGTCCACAATCTCAGTTGTACCACGCAATTGTAGTACTGAGAGCTGAGGAAATGCCTTGGCAACCCATCGCGCTTCGGACATGCCAAAAGGAATACTTGTTCGCTCGTACAATGTGAGCGTCTCGAGACTTTTCAGTCGACCGAGTGCCTTGAGGCCCATCCTGAACGAGAAAGGGTGTACATATGCTGGCTGTGCCATAAATATGGGATCGTTTGAAGGAACCTGCATCGGGGTGGGACTTGGGTCAGGCTGAGGCTGAGAAGTGCTCCCCTGCAGGTCATCCTGCTGGGCTACGTCACTGACGTGCGCAGCATCGATTGCATTTGCGATATAGCTCCGGGTGTCTTCCATGTTTCTGGTCATGAATTTCGACTCCAGCGCAACGGGACCATAAGTTGCGGACGGTGGCTCCATCCCTGCAGACAACCCCATTATATCATCAGGAGCCTCCTCCGGCGCTGTTTCTACCAGAACCCCTTCGATGTCAATATCGAGTCCCGAGTTATTGTATATGTGTAGGGACTTCAGATGCCGAAGCAACCTGAGTTGTCTGAACATGGCATGGTAGTCACTCTTCATGGATTTTTGAACGTGTAATCTCAAGTCAACTCTGCTATCCTGGTGCAGTTGTTGTTGTTGTTGTTGTTGTTGTTTTTGTTGCTGCTGCTGACATTGATGCCGCTCTTCCCCTTTTCTTAGCGAATGATCCAACACATAATGGTCGTCCGCCTGACTCTTTGGCTGTTGATAGTGGTCCTGTGCTTGGTCCGATGATAACGTTTGTATTCCAGCTACAGAATCTACAGCGTGCCCTTGCTGCATCATAAACAATGCCCTCGGACGTATTGTGAATTCTAGTTGCCTGAGTCCTGTACAAACCCATGGAGATGGGCCATGGAAGCAATCTGCAGAGACGGAATCACAGCCTAGAAACTCGAGCTCGAGAAGTTGGGGACAGGTTTCGACCAACGCCCTAATGCCTCGAGCAGTAATCTTGTCACAGAAGCTGACTTTGACACTCGTCAGCCCGATCTGAGCAGCAGCTGAAGAAACCTTGAATGGGGCTGACAACGGACTGAATGTACTGGCGAGTGTTTCAAGACCTGAGTCCTCGACATTGGTAAACTGAAGATTGAGGGCACGAAGCCTCTTGCCACGGAAGGATCGAAATAGTGCTTGAAAATTTCTGTTGGAGATCCCCAGACAGAACACTAGACTTAGTTCCTCAAGATGGTTGAATGGCATATCACTCTGAAGAAGACTGGACAAGGACCATGGTGTCCGTCCATCACAAGATAAGGCCGCGGGAGTGACACGCATCTGCAGGGGTGTCTGTTGTTGTAGTTGTTGCCCCTGGTGTTGAAGCATTTTTGTAAGGGTAGATATGATGACCGTAGTGTCGTCGCCAGCGTCAGGCTCTGCCTTGGCCATGCGAGATAAATAGGGGTTATTGGCGTATCGGAAGTGTTGTCTATTAAACGGCGAGCGATACGAACTCGATACGGAGTATGAAAGTGACGGAACCCCTGCACTCGAAGAACTGACATCGATATCCTGGTCGGTATTAAGCGCCTGTCCCCGGTCCGCTAGATATGCGCTGAAGGTCACGATCTCATTATTGGATAAGTCCAACGACTTAAGTTTCGGACACGCGTTCGCAATGACGGCCAAGGCCCCATCGTCAATATCGCTGTTCACAAGCTCCAAATGCCTAAGCCCGTAAGCTGACTCCAGTACCCTCGGCACCACATCGATCCCGTGCGACACCATTGAAAGATGCGGTAGTCTGAGGTATCGCAGGCGAGAGAGCGAGCAATGTTCGATGGACTGGACAAGAGTTAATGATTGACTGTGAAGCATAAGCCTGTCGACGAGGATGGTCTGGAGGTTTGTCATTGTTGACAGGAGCTCATCAAAGCGGGACCTGTCTGCTCCCTAAGATCGTTGATACAGGGGGATCAGATTGTGCATGTATAGGTTAGTTGGTGTTCTGATGTGCGTTTTGGCGTACCACAGCAGCAGCAAAGGCATGGAATGGGACTGAACTTACGCAATCTTTCAGTATGAGTGTTCTCACAAGGGAGCCGTACTTCAGGAGTTGTGCGAGTAAAGCGTGGTAATGCGGATCTTCCCATGACTCGCTATGGAGTTCGACCTCTTGCCAGAGTGCTCTCCGTGAGACGTAGTACCAAGAGCTGGAGACGAGACTGGTGACTGTGAGATCATCGGGGCTAAGGATCGACCGACAGCTGAGGACCGTGTACAGGACCTCTGGAATATCCAGCGCACAGACTTGCGGCATTGTATGGTGATAGTGCGGTGATGGTGTGTTGTGAAGGGTATGCTGGAAATCTGGGGTGAATGATAAGAAGAAGAGGGATGGACTGAAAGGATTGAAAGGGATGATGTATGTGATGTTTGTCAAGAAGGAGGTCCCCTCCTCTCTATTTATGGCCTCTGAATTCGGGGACATGTCTTGGTCGCTAAAAAGAGTAGATGCGGATCCGACAGACATCTACAGAGCACGCCAAAAGTGTAATTATGTCATATGTCCGCATGGTGTGGCCCATGCGTGATGCTCCCAAATACCCTCCAGTTTTGATGATCCATAGCATTCTCTCCCTTCACATGTGAGTTGACTCAATAGGCCAAGACTACAACGCCCAACGATATATATGTATTTTGTTGATGTCAGGTCTAGCTACAGCTCAAACGTGTCTGCCACTATCGAAAAATATGTCAATGTCGTCCACACCGGCCGCGATTTGACAATCCGCCGTATCACCCCTATTTCACCACTGCCCTCCAACTCCCTCTCGGTATCCTGTCCAAAGCCTTGTGTCTCCATCGCTGTCAATTCGATTCGCAGTCGGTCGTCTGGTCCTGTCGCATAGTGTTCTAGATCAACTCTCCACCCATCACTCACATGTCCTCCTACGTGCCGGATCACGTAGTGTGTACGATACGGGAACGGTTGCGAGGACTCCATTGACCACGATGTGAGGTACGCGTCGAAGCTGGCTACCGTCCAGATGTAGTCTGGGTGCGTGCAGAGCACCGTCAACCGCCTCAAGCCCGTCTGTGGGTCGTACGAGACATTTTCAGCAATCAGTTTCGGCGCGCCTGAGATAAGACTTGTCAATGGTGTGGTCGATTCAGCAATGGTACGGTTGATGGTATGTCTGCGGATGTAGGGCGTGGTATCGAGCACATATGATTCAAGAAATTGGTTGAAAGGATAGATAGCATTCCAGTCGCTAGGATGGTTGGCCGCATCTCGAAATTTGGCTGTGCTCTCAAACATGGTTTCGATCTCTGTGACATATGGCTCATAAAAGGGTCCGGGATCCGCGTGCGCCACGTAGAGGAGCGATTCACCAGAGGTCATATTCCGGAGGTGTTGCACAAACACTCTCTTTGGATGAAACTCGTCGTATGGAAACATGACTGCCGAGGAAATCACTGCCAGGATCAAGTGCAGCACAACGAGTCCCAAGACTATTCGTCTCAGGACGGCTTTCCCAAAGCGATGCGAAAATGCCAGAAGAGGGGGGCAGAATACGAATGTAACAAAGCCCGACATGATAGCGACGATGTGATCGACGGGTGCATCGACACCGATACGTCCTGTGAGTGGGATGAACATGTCGAACAGACTAAAGCAAATGAATGTAAAATAGGACGTCGGAAGAGCAGAGACAATCAAATAGGTTGTAAAATCAACGCACGTCGCTTCCAGGCCTTGCCGTTGCATACGGGCAGTGGTCCGTCGATTGACCATCAATGCAGTTGTGACACTGAGAGTCAGTAACGCGAAAACATAGCTGCTCGCGAGACCGACGAACGAGGTGACACCGAGGGCGATCGTGAAGAACACTTGCAGGCTAGAAAGGGTGCAGATCTCGTTGGCTCCTGCGCTAGCGCTGTTGCGATGGAAAACGTACTGGACCCCAAACATGCCCGCCAGAGAGATAGGTCCAAATAGCAGAATAGAGAGCCATTCGTGGGAGAACCACAGCATTGGCGACCCCAAGGCTTGAAGTATCACTACCGACAGATTAGGCGTTAGAAGGGCAGCGAAAAAAGATAGGCCGATGGAAAGCGTGCCACGGATGGATGGACGCGAAGACTTTGTTGCGATCGTAAGGAAAACCATGCCAGCCACGATAATATGAGAGCGGATAGCCGTTGCCCAGGAGTAGGAGATGAAAAACTGACCAAAGACGTCAAAAAACACGACACTGGATGTTCTCTTAATGTTCACCAGATCGGCTCTCCCTGTTAAATAGGTTACGAGAGCCAGCGTATTTTCACCCATGTGCTGCGGCAGACCCTTCTCCATGAACTCATCGAGGTCAAGATGTGTATGGTAGAGATAGCTATTTTTGTAAACAGCCATATCCAGCCCGGTCAGGTTGCCATGGTCGACAAACTGGCGAAAGTCCGTGTCGGAAAGAATGAGTCCCGTAGCAAACAGGTCGTTCGCAAGGACCGTGCCATGCGGGTACGGCACAGTTTTATAGGCATCAATCATCGCGTGCGAGTTTGCCTGGAAAAGAACTTCGGGGCCACTTGTGCCGCAAGCCTCAAGGTTGACTACAGCTCTGACCGATCCCCTGAGTTCGTGTCTTGTGATAAATGAATGGGATGCATCCTGCAGGGACTCCTCCCCTCCATTAAACACTATTTTTTTATAGTCTGTTAGTTGGAAAATGCTGCTGAAGACTGTGATAGGGTGCATTGACGAGCACGGTAAGAATACTTACGGAAGATAACGCTGTTCTTCTTGGGGGCAGGTCGAAGCGACATAATGCGAATGATCTCCACCATAACTCCACAGCCTAGGGCATCGTCAGCTGCGCCAGGGCTACCTAGCGTTGTATCGTAGTGTGCGTTCAACAAGATTGCATTTTGATCGCACTCAGGTCCGCAGGACAGTCGAACGATGATGTTGGTCATATTTGTGTACATCTTCATGACGACTATATCGGAGAAAAGAACCGGGAAAAGGAAATAGCATAAAAGCTATCAGCAGCGAGTCCGGCGTATTGCAAGCATACTGCACATCGTGCACATCACCAACACTCAATGCACAAACTAACCGTACCTTTGGACATAAAATCAAACCGATGAGATCCTTCCCCAACTTGGACCCAGAGGTCAAAGTTTGGTAAGCCCAAGTTATGCTTCAGATCAACCAGCTTTGCTTTTTCCTGTAGGTCCGAGAGTTCTTTGATCAGATAAGTCTTGGTCTCGAACTCTTGCCCCGTACCCACGACGCGGTACCCAATATTCTGGGTCATGAACCTGACGATTCGACGAACGTTTTCCTCCGAGAATCGATGATTTCCTGAGACGGGATCTGTGCCCTCAAACACAGGTGTTGGAAGCGTGTAGTGGGCTTTGAAAGCGGCAATGACAAGCAGGGACAGGAACCCAAGGAACAGGCCCCATGCGGAGACGACTGTCTTGACATTAATGAACGAGGTATGTCTGCTCTTGATCATATGAACGCGCTCGCCTCTGAGGAGCTCGTTGCCCCTACTAAAAGGGGATCGAATTGCAGCATCGGGCGGGGCATCGGGCGAAAAAAATGTTATATGCGGAAAGTCGTCGAAACGATATTTCAAGTGACGCTTCTTGAGCGTCCTGAATGCTTCCATCTAGGGTATGCAGGGAGGTGAGATACAGATCAGAAAGGTGGACCTGGCTGCTGGGGACTACAGCACGAATGTGTGCCTGTGTGTTCGCTTGTATGCAGGAAGATTAGAGGATATTGTGGGCGGAAGAATTGGGCTCTGGTTTCTGTTGAGCGAGTTACAGAGGATCAAAGGAAAGGACGGGATATGGAACTGTAGCGAACAGGCAAAGGAAAAGAGAAGGGTGATTGAGCGTAAAATTGACCGCTTGGCCAAAGACACAAGGACCTGCATTGCTCACAGGACATCGCCATCAGCCGCGTCGTGTCGGTAAGTAGATGCCAGTCATCAGCTGCTCGGTATTGGCGTCGATAGACCAACTATGTCCTTCGAAGAAATAGGAGGCTGTCTACGCTTTTCCGCGCTATTGCACCCGGTCCGATTACTGCATGTGCCCATACGAATGATGTTGCACGATGTGTCCATGCGCGTGTACTTTATTTTGGGTTATAGCTTGATGTGCAAGGGCCACATGGATGACACGGCAATTGAAAACAAAATTCACCTCCCTCTTTTCTTCTTTCCCCCTGACGAACGTGCTGACAGCCTGTAGCGACCCATCCTGACCAGTAGGAGCAATGGCCATCTGCCCGCGTGAAGGAACACGAGTGTATGGTTCAGTCCTATCAGGATACCCGCGGGTCTTGGTTTATTGCTTCTTTGCAATGACGCGACAATCAGCAAGACTCAAGAAGTCTAGTGTAACCATCCCGCGTCTGGCCCGCTCGATCTCTTCTTCGTCGTACACATCAAACTTGCCCATGATTGCACGTCCATCGCTGTCAACTTCGTAGGGCTCTCTAAACTTGCGAGCGAGTTGCACTTGAACCACGCTATCTGCCGCCGAGAAGGCCATAACTGTCGCCTCCTAACCAAAGAAGAGTATAAACAAAGTATCATATTTGAAGCACATGTTAATGTCGAATGTCAGCGCCGTATTCCTCCTTATAATGTCTCAAAGGTCATACCTTGAAGTCCGAGATAATTGGACTGTAAGAAGCATCCATTTCCAGTGTCTATCGATCAATAACAATGGGGGCAGATTTTGTCAGGGCTGACAATATTCCAGTTTTGATTCGCAGGAATTCATGATCCAAGTCGGGATCTATAACTCGTACCTTGTAAGCAATCATGTCGCCAATATTTGGATTGCCTTCCAGCCTTGGCAGGTCCTCGTAGTTTTGTGACAATGAATCAGCCTCAGAGTCGTCTTCGTGCATGCAAGTCGAATCCATATCCAGGGATGCGTCCCCCTTGACGGCCATTGATTCAACCATTGCTTTCGCGGATTCATTCTCGATATGCACGCCCTTCGTATTTTTAGCATTCGATCGGACGACCCTCTTCGACGCTGCGGCGCTAGAGGCCCTAGACATAGTCTTGCTGTCATTCAGCTCAACTGTCGTGATGATGACCTTTGCTGCAGCCTGGTTCTGCACTGAGTTGGAAGAGGCAATCGGTACACTAAAGTGCGATGAAACAGGCTCTATTTGGTTGCAAAGATCGGCTTGGTTCTGCTTAGGGACCGAAGTTGCGTGGCAACCTGCATTCGAGCTCTTTACCAGTGCAGCGTACTCCTTGGTCTTCTTGCGACGTTCATTTCTTGACTGTGTTCGAGGTAATCCCATTCCTGGGGCAGCATTACTAACAGATTTCACGACCGCTGGGGGCGCTGATGACCTGAAATCCGAGTCCGAGTCCGAGTCCGAGCTCGAGTCTGAGTTCGAATTGCTACTACTCGAATCGCTACTGCTCGAGTCGCTGCTGCTGGAATTACTGCTCTCCGATGATATCGATGAAGTTAAAGCCTTGCTCTTCGTTACTGAAGCAGTACTGTGTGTTCGATTTCCCAGAATCGAGTTTTGTTTGGAGGTTGAGGCCGCAGACAGTGGAGATGAAGATAATGCGGGTCCTTTGCGCCGTCGGGATGTACTGACTGCATTTGTTGTATTGACATGCTGTTTACAGTCAATGGTGTTAGGCTTGATTCTATTGTGCGTCCCGGTCCTAGTGCTTCCAGTATTGCTGTTCAGCTTCTGGCCATATTGTCTTCCATTATTGTTGTTGTTTGGCTGCGTGAGCTGCTGCTGCTTCTTTGGTTTCTGACGTGTGCTGGGTGAAGATGCTACCTTTACGACGCCAGCTCTTTTTTTCCGTGGGCTGTCTCGACTTTCCGATGCCGGTCCTATATCCTTCCTAGATCGTTTCACTCCGTCTATTACAACGGACACATAGTTTATAAACATTCAGCACTAGTACCATTTTTCACGAAATTTGTAAAGTCTTCTCATACCTGCAACAGGAAGAGACCTCGGCGGAAGGTTATCGCTCTTTCTTCGGATCATAACCCTGCCCAGTAATGAAAAGAGGCATTGACGTGTTATGAAGAATCACCGCTGGCTCGGGTAGGCGCATTCTCGCTCCAGATAGCTGGGCGCATTTTATAGCTCACTTACTGTAAAAGGTCGCCTTCCTTGATAGATCCAGCGATGGACGACACTGGCAACAGAAAGAAGCCGTCAAGGTCCAGGCGGATGGTCTTGCAGACTTGATCCAGGTTAAAGCCCTTCCTGATCGCCCTTTGTAGGTCGCGAATGGTTGCGCAGGAGGTCGGCACCTCGTACCAGCATCTGTAGGGAGGCAGAGGGTCTTCGAAAGTCAGACGGATACGCATGGAGTACGCGTGGTTTCGGGGAGGTTGGTTTGTCAGCTTGGACTGGGGGAGACAACTGGCTGCGCGCTCAGGGCTGTTCATGAGCTGTTCTCTTAAGAAGATCAACCCAAGCCACAGAGCACCTTTGGGTCAAAGAGAAAGCTAAAGTCCTAACCGCAGCTATTCTTCATTCTCTCCCATCTTATCCCTAGCTTGGTCGCAACCGACATCAATGGCGCAAATCAAGGCTGATCCCAACAAAGTGTCATGGGAGGAATCGGTATGTGAAAAAGACAATACTCAGATACCGTGATGGCTCTGCTGATCGCATGAATCGATGACTTGATGTGAGATGCTGACCGCCTGTATGTGGCCCCTTCTTGCTCTCTCAAATAGGAGTTTCCCATTTTATGTGAAACCTGCCTCGGCGACAACCCTTACTTACGCATGGTACTATAGGAGAAGGCTGCCCTGTGCATGATATTCGCTCAGCAAATTCGACAGGGACATGAAGCTCAGCTAAACACTGACTCTTACTCGATCTCTCCTTATTTTACTTGCTAGACTAAACAATCTCAGGCAAAGGAATGTAAAGTCTGTACTCGACCATTTACGGTCTTTCGGTGGTGTCCTGGCGTAGGCATGCGCTTCAAAAAGACCGAGATCTGCCAGACCTGTGCAAAGGTCAAGAACGTCTGCCAGACATGTTTGTTGGATCTGGAGTTTGGCCTTCCTGTTCAAGTTCGCGACACTGCTCTCGGGTTGGAGGACAATGCACCTCGATCAGATGTCAATAAGGAGTATTTTGCACAAAATATGGACGCGCATGTACGTATCCTCAACATGATTACTAGTCAACTTCTCTTTGCGTTATGAGCTCTAGTACTCACTCTTTACTTCGAACCTATATCACATCTAGTTTCAAAGCAACGAGGATGGGCTCGGGTCAAGTGGATTCGGGAAAGCAGAGTCGGCAGGACGAGAGATGTTGAAAAAGCTACAGAGGACGGAACCCTACTACAAGCGCAATAGACAACACATCTGCTCCTTCTTCGTTAAAGGAAACTGTACTCGTGGAGCAGAGTGTCCATACCGCCACGAGATGCCTCAGGAAGGAGAATTGAAGCATCAGAATCTCAAGGACCGTTATTACGGAACGAATGACCCTGTGGCTCGCAAGATCTTGACAGGATCAAAAACTGGGGGTGCAGGGCGACAGTTTGCTCCACCAGAGGACAAGACCATTGTGAGTTTGACGTACTTTTTGATGACCAATGTTGGTCCCTAATTGCTGAAAACAAGATTGTTTAACGATACCTCTGCCTTTTCTTAGACCTCACTGTTTATCACTGGCGTCACTGAAGGCATCATGGAAGCGGATCTCAAAGGATTCTTTTATGTCTTTGGGGAGATCAAGTCAATTGTGGTGGCTCACAAATCCAAATGCGCTTTTGTCAATTTCACAACCAGAACGGGAGCAGAATTGGCGTTCGAAAAATCCGGAGGCGGTGTAAATATTCAAGGCGTCCCTCTGAGGGTTTCATGGGCACGGTCAAGGCCTGTGGGCGCTAGAAGCGAACAAAAAGGAGAGACAGCACCATCACCCACAACGATCATGGATACTCTACAGGCTGGCCCACCTCCACCCCCCGGCAGCTCATCCAGTTTTACGTATCCAAGTCAAGACCCAACGTATCAAGGATCGACAAGCAAGCATAGGTAGAATGGTCATACCGAGACCCTGGAACCTGCATTAAGATTTTCTTTGTAGGTCATATGCCTTGCTCCAGATGTTTGGATGAAATGAAATTGGGAAGCACTCGTTGAGCAAGGTCCTCCCAGATAATGTATAGTACGTATACAGCGCCTCCAACGAGCATCTCAGATTATTAGGTAGAAATGGTCGCCATAACTGGGCCGTACATATCCAAAAAAAAAAAAAAAAATTCGACGCGACTTCCAAAAACAACCTTGAAAGACTTGCATCGCTTTGAAATCCGCTCATTTCGTATTCCTCGTCCCGAAAGCATACATTTCTGTAAGCAAACATCTCTGCCGCGTATTTCTTACCCAGCAAACCCGATTACCATAGGCCTGCTTCAATAGCTTCCCTCGTAGCTCACTTTTAAAATATTTATTCCCATGCCGTCTACTGAAATTGCTGTAGTAAACCAGTGATTGGAATAAACGTCAGTGCAAGCATGTACTTGAACAAGGGACTGACCATATTCCGAGCTGGGTCTTGCAGTCGGATCTTGATTTCTCCTTTGCGACCAGAGCTCGTGAACAAAAGGAGAAGCGCGCTGAGAAAGAAGATCGATGGCAATTGCAGGAGGAAGTCCAGCATTAGGCGCTGTCCGAGGATGCTGCGATTGATTTTGGCACGACCGCACTGGCGAAGGTCCTCTTCATGTCGATTCTGGCGGGAGCACTAGAAAGCGAGCCCTCTACTGAAGAGATATCGAGAAAACGCGCTACATAGTGAAGACATGCACAATGGAGGGCTGGAAGAGTTTGAGGTGGACCTGGATAAGCTCGACGATGGTCTTCATAGAATAAAAGTCATTTGTGACAGTAGCTCGACGCTGAAGGTGTTCTGAATAGTCCCGTCCAGATAACCTCGTGGCATATTTCGAATAGCTTTCTTTCATTTGTGCTTTCTTAATAAAGTTGCTCTTTGCGATAGTTCTAGTGCTGTCTCGCTGTCTAAGTGTAAGTACTGTTGACCATGTAAAGAGTATAGCCATCAAAGGCTTTAGTGCTGGACCTGAGCGTGTCGCTGGTTGCATGGCTACAGAGCTTGCCTGCTGCGCTCCTTTGCCATGCTCGGAGTAGGAAAGTTCCAGCATGTGAGGAAAGGAAACGTGTGAGCATCAGCCACGATGCACTCTTTCATCAACCGTGCCTCTATAATCCTTTTTCTATCGCTCGCATCCACAGCCCTTGCCTATGCCCCACCATGCTGTCTGCCTCAGCCTTACCACTCCTTTATTATTTTATCTTTATCGCTTTTTATTTTGGCATTCCGCAGATGCGAGTGGAAGGTATTTCCCATTTTTGGAAGAACAGGAGGTGGAGGCAGCGTCCATGAACGTGGCCTCGGTCCGGGATGGGGACATGGATATCCTCGGTGTGTATTTTTCCTACATCCGCAGATCGTGTATGAGACACTCCGACGCGCCTCCTAGTCCGCAACTCCGTAATCATTAACTGAATTCAGTCGCGGTAGGGTCCGTCCGCGCGCTCCACAAGACGATGTCATGGACATTTACCCAAGATCCGGCAACCCATCCTGCGCTTTGATGGTCTGCCGATACGCAGAAGGCGAAGGCGTGGGGAAATAGAAAGATCAGGAGCAGCAAGGATGCGGATACCATGGGCAATCAGGCTAAGAGGACCCAGGAGATGAAAGTCTCCGATAAAATCAACCCATCCGCAAGGACACAAGCGCAAGCTTGTCGGGTCGACCCAGAAAGCAAAGGAGGGCTTAGCCGCTACAGGGATTGATTCAGTGATAAAGAACGGCTTCTTTGCCGGGTTGGAGGAGCTGTGCTGGAACATGTGTCGCTGCGTTGGAGAAACGGGCGTCTGTATTGGTCGCAAGGCGAAGCAACATCTTGGTTAGGCTATGGTTGCCTCGTCGGTTCAGATATACTCTTCTATGGCATGAAGGTGCTCCTCAGAAAGAACCTCCGTAATCATACCTTCGCGTCGTGGAAGGTGGAATATGTGATTCAGAAGCTGGAAGTCGGCGAGGCCCAGTAGATTGCCGCTGCCGTCACTACGACCAACAACTACACGAGCCATGTGCCAGGCCGGTCGTTCGCAAAGGGTCTCGCTGTGCTGCATGGATGTGATCCAGCCCACAAGTAGGGCGTCCTGGATCACTATTGCAGCCAGATGTGAGTAAGCAGCGGGATATCTGGCAAATTTCCTTTGACAAGGCCGAGACCTCGGAAGAGGAGCATAAAAGAAGTGAGGCTATTGACGCGAAGATGAAGGGGATCGTGCAAAGTGTCATCAGATACCCCCAAGAGTAAGTGTCTTTATTTAACGTCAATGATGCGGGGACCGGAGAGCTACTATATATATAAGGAACAGAAGCGAAGCGTTGGAAATATGGTCGGAGACGTAATAAACAGTAATTTCGCGACAGAAACAATGAGCGTTGGAATGATTGATCGCCGCCTTCAACACGGACTGCAGTAGAATTACGGCGCCGGCGTCTATTTTCAAGCAAGCCAGTGTATCAGGTCGGCTCTCCAGGGCCTCGTCAAGCTCAACACAGATTTGCAGGACGCTCGTAAAAGGAATGTGCCACTAGGACGACGGCCTGAAGGGCAACGGTGGCAGGTTTGACTCGGCGTTAGCGACACTCGAACCTTTCAAGTCAATGCTCAGAAACAAGGGTGCCGTGAGCCAGGGGGCTTTTTCGAAAGCTGTTTTTCCACGGCTATATAACTAACTATGGCCAACACGCCTGTGTGGTATTTCCCTATAATAATTCCTTGCCGCATGTGCTCGATATTGATTCTTTACCCTGCCAGGGCCAGCTCAGCGCACTGACAATTCGGCTTTCGTCCATACCAGAGTACAAAAGGGCTAAGGACAATGTCAAGACATCAATCAAGGAGAGTATCCTGGTCATGGATAGCACCACATAGACGGGGAAGTACGTGCTCCCTGGCACTCTGCAAACCGATGGACACCAGCTTAAAATCCACTCATACAGCCTGGATCACTCAGCGCAGGAAGAAGGACGAGAACGAGGGCGAGGAAAAAGACAAGGACAGCAGCGAAAACTCCTCTCAGAGCAGCGCCTCCCGCTCAAGAAAGCCGTCAACAGCGAATAAGGGCTATCGGCAGGACGTCGCAGGTGCCTTCCAGGTCTCGGCCGAGTCCACAGGGCCCAAGATGGAGTACCTGACCGAAGCGATCCATGGCCCACATACACTGCAGGAGGAAACTGCTAAAGCATTTTGTTCGCACTAATGAGGGGAGATACGATATGGGTAGGCCTCTAACCATCTAGTGCTACGAATATTGCTATGTGCATAGGCTGCCGGCGAAGAGATGCTGGTATGCTGTGTCGACGTTCGGAATTCGTCGACGTCTTGCTGCAGATATCACCAGAGAGTCTAGACTCAGGACCACTCGACCATCTGTCATGACCCGACTTGTGGTAGTCTCTGGCCATCGGCATATGACGCAGCACACAAGTTGAACCCCAAGACCGGCCTCTAGCGCGATCAGAACCAAAACGCTGGTCAGAACATGGCTAACGCTGCCCTTCAATAGGTAAAGGATTTCAGTGGCCCGACGCGCCGATCTGGCAACTTATCAAGAGGCAAGAAATGCCCATTGGAACGGCGCATAACAATATGGAAATTGCTATTTGTGGCCAGTCGAATTTTCTTATTTGTCGATCGGTGTATTTTGATATGACACACTTCGCTATTTGTCGACCGGTGGTTGTCGACCGGTATGTCGCTACATAGCTGTATCACTTGTAGCACCGTGGCTTCCATCTTTACGCATCAGGTAGCCTTCAAGGCGCGTCTACTGCTGCTTATATCGCAACTAATGCACTCTGTCTGTCTGCCAGTCCATCAGTGCATCTGTTCATGTCGTTTGGCGCGTCTTTTTCTTTGCTTTTATTACAAACTGGTCTGAAATCATTGACCACATCGGGAGCGATGATTCTAGACCCAAGACAGAAGCAAAATATACGGCAAAAAAAATATTCGCAGATGTAATATCCACGGCAGGCTCAAGATATAAGGTAGGCATAAGATCCAATTCGTATCTGTATCCTACAAGATTCTTTGACCGCCGCGAGCACCGGGCCTGGCCTTGGGACTCGGCATACTTTGCAGCTGGTATACGATCGACTCCGAGAGATGAGTAGATTCACAGCAGCTTTAAGTCGTCGCTGGGTCCGGTACCTTCTCTATTACAAGTTTTCGAGGCAGTCAGAGATAATGTATCAAAGGAAGCCATGACCATGACGCACATCAAGCTCAGGCCTGCCAAGACAAACAGCAAGCAGATGTCGCAGTGCAAAGCTCTGTTTGGAAAATCTGTCCTGCATCAGATGGAAGCCGAAATTGCAGAATTCTTGTTTTATGGAGCCTCTCTCTGCTCATGCGAAGGACGTCTAGTTAGAAGAGTATGTTGAGGATGAAGCAGTAAGTTTATTGTTTCTGTTTTTATTTTGTTGGCGCTCTTTGAATGTTACAATTCGGTTGATAGTGTTATCATGCAAGATCGCCGCAGGGAATCGCTAACTGCGATGTTCTCTCGGTTTGGAGAGTATAATGTAGAGTGCATCTATGAAATTTCCCACCTCGCGAATCCCGCTCGCGTTCAGTATGTGATGCTTATGAAAGATAGATTCTATCTCTGCACAACCTCCACTTTCACGACACTGGCCTGGGCTGTTGCCGGTTTTTTAAACTGATATTGATGATAAAAGTGAAAGTACTATATAAGTCTTGCCAGGAGGAGATGGCTCCGCGAGGCTCATCTAGACAGCTCCGAGCCCGACTTGGCTAAGGGACCATTCGTGTTCCCCGCCACTCACAATGAAGCAATTAGCGCTGCTGAAAAAGCCTCACCACGAGGCTACACGAGAACCATCGACAGCCCCTTCATTTCATCAAGGACGGTGCGACCAAGTCCGAAGGTCCTGTCTCAAAAGGAGAACTCTTTGGGAAGATAAAGAAGACGGAAGAAAAGGAATCATTCGATTCGGAATTGGCTATGAAAGCGGTCAACATGCTCGGTACGAAATTGCGGATAATGGTGGTATTTACGGCCTGCAGGATCCTATTAATGCCAGCGGTAAAGGTAGTTGCGATATAAGCAGCAGTAGACGCGCCTTGAAGGCTACCTGATGCGTAAAGATGGAAGCCACGGTGCTACAAGTGATACAGCTATGTAGCGACATACTGGTCGACAACCACCGGTCGACAAATAGCGAAGTGTGCCATATCAAAATACACCGATCGGCAAATAGCAATTTCCTTTATTTTTTGACGACGCCTGCATGAGAGTGAGTTGCTGCATTAGTTCTGCAAGTGGCACGAACCCTCTTCTCACAATCGAGTCACATCCATTCCCTGGGAGCTATGGCTCGCGAGGCTCGGTCTTTCTGGGATCAGGAGAGGAATGGGCGTATTGTCCTGGAAGAAACTATCGCGCATTTTATGATAAGCAAGGTCAACTACCGCTCCAATCCAGAACCACAACAAGATACCACGGACAGTGCTGACTAGGTTGGCAAAAGGATGCGCAGAAGAGAGCGCGGAAGGAAGCCATTGTCGAGGGACTTGAAAACTGCAAACAGGAGCTGGGTACCATCGCCCCTGATAAAAGGACTAGAAAGTGCTGATTGGAGTGTATGCAGGCTAGCATTGTAGCTCTTAAAAGCACTATTTATGTGGTGAAAGGCGTGAATGAGGCGGAAATACCAGTGATCTGGACTAACCTAGTTGGATAAACTTCCATCATTCCATTAAATGGCCGATCAGAGAATTTGGGCAAGAATTATTATACCTCTCCAGGATACAATCAAGGAAGGCTTTGCAGACTGCATTGTCCCGACAATTGCACACCGACTGAATACAACTATGGAGTCGGACAAAGTCTTCGTGATGGATGGTGGCGTGGTGATGGAATTCGGTGAGCCCACAAGTTGTTGCAGGGCCTTAATGGTGCCATTGCGGAGTTGGTGAGCCATGCAGGGGAGGCTGCGTCCAAGAGGGTGGAGCAGCGGTATGGGGAAGAAAAGACACTCGAGCGTGAGGATCCACCACCAACTGCCGCAACAACCAGCACAACCATAGGGCTTGCAAAGACGCTAAGGCACTCACACCAATTCTTGCAGCATAGAGGAGAGTTTGAGGCGCTTACCAGGGCTAAAACTCATGAGAACACTGAAGTCGACCAGTCCAACACCCGAAGCTGCTCCTGTACCCGTGCCTGGATTATCCTCAAAAGATGTGCCGCGAGCCCTGGAGGTAGCTCTGCACGACCAAAAGAGGAGACCGCGGTGGAGAAGCAGCTCCGGAAGCAGCTTAAGGACCCGTTTACTGGGTCTAGGGGAAATCGAACGTTAAAAGTTCTGGCCGAGCGTCCTATGGCCACATTACATGTTCAGAGCATCCCTAATAAAAACGATCTAATGCATCTGTCCGAGCAAATCAATGCTAGCGTTGGAGAGAGTTTGTTTGTGTTCGTGTAGACAGGACGATCGGGAAGGTTCGTATGCTGCTCTTTTTAGTGTAACAGCAACGCGACCCACCACCACTCAGATGGCAGGATTGAGGGGGCGTGCTCGCAGTATGGGTTTCACCAGCAACTCCAACGGGCCATTTCTCGGCCCTTTTCTGTACTGCGCTGCTACCGTGCCTGGTTTCGAAGAGGACCTACCCATACCTTTTGGTCGTAACAACATGTCGCTTCTGTACCGACCCGCGCAGACATGGGGCCCCTCACGACTTGCGTCATTTTTATTGAGATGTCTTTCTTTTCTTCTGGCCGTTCTTAACCATCTCCATCCTCGCTTTTCCCAACTCCTTCCTCTCACAAATACGATCGCGTCCTTTATCCTCGCACAATGTCTTTGCTTTCATCACGAGCGCATCCCTCTGAGAGTTTGCTTCTCAAGTCAAGGCGCTCTCGCTCACTCCTCACCGTGACGGGTCTCTTACAGCCACGCCCTTCCAAGAGCCCAGAGCCTCAGCCATGTACCGCTCACACATCCTTCCAAGCCGCGCTTCCTACGGAACTCTGGTGCCTCATCCTGGATATCGTCCCTACACTGGACCTTTTCAGTCTGTACAACACCTCCAGGTACATGCGAGCGCTCACGGCTCCGCCGCTGGTGCGGGTCATGGCATCCAAATCCCTTCGACTCTACTTTTACCAAGAATATGTCCGCCGGGTTGGTATCGACTTCGTGTTTGACCATTTTGATCTAGAACGGGATCGAGTCGTGTTCCGGCCCCAGATCATGGACCATCAACACCGCTTTCGGTGCGGTTTGACACTGCAGAGTCCACAACTAGAGGAGATTGCAGTCGAGTCCATGACGAAATCGACTATAGCGACCCATCAGGTCCAGCTTTCGAGGAGTCGCTACTACATTGTACTCGATAACAAAGCCGTACGGGAATCAGCCTCAACAGCTTCAACAGTATCTATATCTCAATCAGCATCAACGTTAGTAGCATCGAAGCCATTCCCAACCACAGGTTCAGGAGTAAGGGCGCCTGCAACACCTTCATCAGAAACGCCAGAAGCGGTTGTATCGGAGCCGGTAGAAGGACAAAGAGGTGGACCTCTCAAGCGAACCACCATTACTGATGAAAGAGGGTATAAAGGAAGTAACAACTTTCTGGACAAAACCTGCCCAGTCCACATCCGCAAGGATGGGACCCGAGAGATAGACGGTACCCGATACTGTTTTCTGCAGAGCTACCCTTGGTCATTACACTACCAAGTCGCCCGCGCACCCTTCAGCTCACGTTCAAGCGAGGCCGAAAACCACAGCGATAGTGGAGGCAAGCCCAAAAAACGCGAGCAGTTTTTCTTCGACATCCACGAAGAGCTCCGTGCTCAAGCCCAGCCTAGCGTGAGTGGGAGAGCGAATGGTGACGGTGACGATAACAGGAACATCTCTCCTGAAGAAGGCTATTACACCAATGTAAATATGAGCTCTTGTAAAATATCCAGGCACCCAGGCATCGCCCTTTGTGAAATCAATACTGCAACCACCAACACCTACACCAAAACCAACAGTACGGCGAACAATGGACCGCGCTACTTCCGTGTACTCCGATTCGAATGCAGCATGAACTTTTTGGATCCCAAACGGGCAACGCGCAATATCATCGGACGCTGGCTAGAGGGCAAAGTGCATCGATGGAAGAAGGCCCTGGCCAGCAAAAAGCAACCTCAGCAGCTCAGTGGTGCAGACGCAGGGGCCCCTGAACAGACCAACCAGACTACAGCTAGGGGCAATAACAGCAGTAGGGTCATTCACACGATCGACAGCATTCTCGGAAGTCCCAGCCTCACAATAGCTTGTAACAGCAACAGCAACGGCAGCAGCAGGCATCCAGCGCAGGACGGCAGCGCGGGGATTGATGGCATTCAGCCTGCAACTCGTGATCTCGATGGCACTGCCCATAGCCTGGTGATAGTGCAGGCGTTTTAGTTGTGGAATAAACATATCGGACGAACTTTGCGAACCTCTGATAACATGCTCACGATGCGTATTGCTGGGCACGACTTTGTATATACACGTGGCAAACACCGCATTGTACCTCAAGTAGTATGTGTGCTCTGCACTTCCTCACTTTCTGTACAGCATCTCCTCTTCTCATCGTTGTCGACAGCACAACTCCACCCATCCTCCCCAGATCATTCCGCCAAAGCAAATTTTCATGCTGTCCGTCTTCCAAACCAAATCCGCAAAACTCGAGGCCGAGAAAAAACCCGAATCTGGCCCCGAACCAGACCTTGCTGAACCCATTGGGCCTGTTGCACCTGCTCAGCCTGCAGACATCGCCATGCCAGACACCGATGCTCAGGCCGAGACTCTGCTTGCGCTGCAGGAGCATGACCTTGAGCATGAGGACGGCATACCCCCTCCCCCTGAGCCAGTAGGTGAACGTCGACCGTGAACACACGGGCCCTGAGGCTAACCGTCCATATGGCTCTAACTCTTTTTTTTTTTCTGTCTATTTATCCAACCTCAGATTCGATGGTTCCATGCTGTGGACTCACCTTTGACAAAGCCCCATGAGCCCAGAAGGAATCTAAAAACGCCTCCTCCGCCCAGAAAGCCTGCCACAACATGGGTACCATTCAGTATCCGGGACTCCAATGCACTCGAGAGGGCCTACCAATTGACCCAACCTTCGCGCGAAGAAAGAGTTGTGTCGCAGGAGACAGCAGCAGGTGCAGAAGGTGCAGCAGTGGATCATACACATCAGGAGCAGGTTGCAAGGCTTCATGTGCCCGACCCCAATGGACCGAACGTTTCAGCGTCGTTATCATCTTCGTCTGCAGGCACGTCCATCCTCGTAAACGAGGATTATCTTTTTCAAGTGAACATTCAGAAAATGGAGATCAAGCCCGTAGGTTTGCCCTTTTGGACTATCATATGGCTTTTTCTAGATTGGGCAAACTGACCAAGGAAAGATATAATCCTGTGTGCTCATGATTAGGTTTACTGGCTGGGGCCAACGTATGAGGTCAGGCGAGCTGTGTGGTTCTTACAGCTGGACGGCAAATTCGTCCCATGCGAGGCCAATCTAACTCAGCAGATTGAATATGGATACAAGTAAGCACTGATGGATAAACCTTTGGGCTGTCCCTCTTTGTGCCGAAACTAATCAGGTGATCATTCATGTAGCAAACATCGGCCCTGGATTGCTCCTCCTCCAACACTGGATGCATCGGGGAAGGAAGTGGTCGAAGTCAGACCCGAGAAAAGTTGGGCGCTTCTTGGCAAATACATCTCACAATACGTCGTCTTTACTGACGCCCACCATGCATGGTTACTGAGGTACATCGATGACGGTATCGCTGTCATACGTAGGCTAAGCAAGAACTGGTCGAAACCGGCCTCTAACACCCTTTTTATTATTATTACTACTATTTGGAATAGCGATGATCTGAAAAGTAAATTTGCAAAGACAATATTCACCAAAGTATCTCTGACCGCGACACTAGGAGGGGCGCATCTAATTCGAGGTTACGATGAGGTCGAAAAGTTTGTCTCCAAGAAGGCGTCCGAGGATGCGGCCCAGAAAAAGAAGGATGGTACCGACACAAAGAAGAAGGAAACTTCAGAGATCCAGAAGAAAAGAGAAGCCGCACAGTCGCTGCAGCAAAAGACTAAGCGATTGACAGAGGAAGAGAAGGATACCATCCAGGAGTCTCACGAGATTGACGACTACTCAAATGAGGAAGAGAACGAGGAGCGGACGATCGACCACCTAGTGCTGGTGATCCACGGCGTCGGACAAAAGCTGGGCGATAGGATGGAGGCCATCAATTTTATCCACGATGTCAATGTCATGCGACGGACTATGAAGGAGACTGCGGCGACTTTTGTTCAGCAGTCGCCGGGAAATGCGACGCCCAAGGACCAGGCTGGTGGTGCGGAAAAGGACAAGGAGGCGACGTCAAAGATGGGAGGTTCAACTGCGTCCAAAAATCCATATGCAGTACCGTCCGGATCAGGAGTCCAGGTTTTACCTGTCGAGTGGAGAAGACAGATTACATTCGGCATGGCAAACGAGGATGAGGAACTTCAACGGGATCTGAGCACACCAGAGGCCGAGGAGGGCTGCCCAACTATGGAGGACATTATGCTGGACGGCGTGCCTACTATTCGTATGCTTGTTTCGGATGTCCTGATGGATGGTAGGTTGTACTTGTATGAAGCTGCTCCTTTTGCTTTTGCTGAGTATACTCGATGTTACTAACGACTCTGCTGATATGTACACTTGTAGTGCTCCTTTACATGACGCCCAGCTATAAGCGCAAAATGATGGAGGTTGTCACGAACGAGCTGAACAGGGTCTACAGAAGTTTCGTTCATCACAACCCAGACTTCTTGCGCAGAGGTGGCAAGGTCTCAATTCTAGGCCATTCGCTTGGATCACTACTCGCGCTCGACATCCTGAACCATCAACCCTTCAGCCCAATGCAATATCAGCCCATTCCTTCATCGCCAGTGTACGAAAAGTTCATCTCGTTCGACCAGGGGATGTACAATCCAGTGTCCCTGGACTTTCCGGTGACCAATTTTTTCGCTCTCGGCAGCCCTATTGGTCTGTTCTTGCTGCTCAAGGGATGCAAATTAGGTGCTAGGCTCTCGGACGCGAGCACCACAGGTGAGTCGACACTGGCGCCTTGTTTCCGACCAGCGGTTGAAAATCTATACAACATCTTTCACCGCTCAGATCCAGTAGCACATCGTGTGGAGCCGTTGATCTCGCGATCATTTGGATCAAAGACTCGACCAGCGCTTATTCCGTATCACAAGGGCGGTCTCAAAGGTCTTCATATCGGTATTCAGGATTTCAGCAACGACCTTGCGAATCGAGCCAACACCATGATTGAGTCAGTCAAAATGGGGATCACCACCTCAATGTTCACCCGTGCACTCGGATTCCGGACCAACCCTATGTCAAACGCAGCAGTGATCCATAGCGTCAAAGTACAGGAAGCTGGAGGTGCGTCCGGCTTGGCGAGCGAGACGGAGATGAGCACGATTATTGATGGATCGGAACTTGTGGACGGAGCGCTCTCGCAGGCCAATGGATCGACGACGCCTAGAGTAACACCGGAGATGAATAGCATGATCAGCAAGGCCAAGGTCAAAGCCCTGAACAAGACTGGACGAGTGGACTGGTGTCTACAGGAGGGGGTGTTCGAAAACGCCTATCTCTCGGCCCTCTCAGGTATGGATAGTGCCCAATTCTTCCTACGGCATGATATGGTACGATGTTATATATGAGTGAACATGATCTTGTTAACGCGCGTATGTTGCCTACGGTTTAGTTCATATGCAGTATTGGTCCGACAGCGATGTCGCAGCCTTTATAATCCGCCAGACCTACGACATGGACTCTAAATAGACCTCAGTTGAATAAAGACCCTTCACCGAAAAAAAATTAAAAAAAAGTGCTGTGCAAGTCTTGCTGTGCGAAGCCACATGTGGATGTCAAGGTAATGGCAGGCTCTTTAAATCTCTTTCAAGCCTTCGCCATCACCACATCTGAACATCTGATCCTTCATCTCAAACAACATGGCCACTGCTGTCAGTAAACCCCCCTGCGTGGTCTGCAAAACACCCTCAATAACCCGGTGCTCGCGTTGCAAGGTGGTGCACTATTGTTCCGAAACCTGCCAGCGCAGGGACTGGCCCACCCATAAGATCGCCTGCACCCCCTCTACCTCCTCTACAGCGACCCCCACTACCAAAGCGACACCGCCAACCTCTTCTTCCTCGCCTCCCTCTTCCTCAACAGCAACAGAAAACAAGCAGACATCATCAACGCCGACACTTCCAGACCCCAGCAAAGTCTTAAACGCTCATCCAATAGAATCCAAGACGTCGCCCACTTCGATTCGCAAGACCAGTCCGCAGGCATCGTCCACGACACTCAAGTTCGAGTACCAGCCCTCGCCGGATGGCGTAGATGAGAACTTGGTCTTGTTTTTCCATGGGCTGGGTGATAAGATTAAGCCGAATTTTGTCAAGCTGGCACAGAATATGCAGTTGCCCCAGACAGCGACGTGCTGTGTCCAGGCACCGACCCCAGTGCCGTATCTGGAGCAAGAGGGGTGGCAGTGGTACCCGTCCTTTAACAACTTGAACGGGGAGTGTAAGTGACACTAGCAGCAGCAATAGCCTCTTTTTTTTTGTACTTCATATTAATACGCCTTGTATCTCCATAGTACTTGGCCCCGACAGCCCCGAGAGAATGTTGCAAGTCAAGCAGCTGGTGCGCCCAGAGCTTATAAAGCTGATTCGTCACTGCATCGATCACTGCGGGTTTGAGTCACGCAAGATTTCGTTGTTTGGGTTCTCACAGGGAGGGGAGATTGCGCTGGACTTGGCGGCGTTTGGAGGACTGAACCTGCGGGCGGTGATCAGCGTGGCAGGGTATTTAATGGAGGAGGCGCAAAATGACGAGCCGGCGGTGAAGCCGTCGAACACGCAGGTGCTGGTGATGCAGGGGGACAAAGATGATCTACGGACGATTCAGGAGGCGAAGGCGCGGTTCAAGTATTTGCAGAAGACGTTTGGAAAGGCGAACGTAGAGCAGCAGATCGTAGAAGGAATGGGCCATGGTATGCCGGCCAGCGAGGTAAGGGATACAAAGGGACGGGTCGTTTTGCTATTATGAAGGACCTGCGCAGCCGATATGAAATTTGACTTTTCCTTATAATATTCCCATAGTCTGGTTGGCGGCCGTTGATGGAGTTCTTTGCAAGGGTCCTGGATCATCGTTCCACGACTATGGAGGGCATGTCAAACGTATATGAAATCAAGTAAGCATACGGAAGGCTGAGTGCGCTCTTCGTGTATAGCTACTGCTGCCGAGGGAAAGAGAAGAGGTAGAGACTACAGTGCGTGTGTATCCTACGTCGAAGACAAACAAACAAACAAAAAAGCATTGTATCGTACATGTCTTGGCAGATCGAAAGAACAAAAAGCCTAGGAGGATGTATTTTTCTTGAGAGAATGGAGGAGAGGCATTAGCCGTTGAAGCGTTTGCCGACCGAAGGGTCGTCATGCCCAAGGATGGCTAGCTGGACCGACCAGTGTAGTCGTGAAATGCATTCCTGTACGCGTCGAGTCCATAACCAAATTTTCTCTACGCGAGATGGTGACACGCGAGCACGACACGCGTCTTAATAACAAGTCACCTCCAATGACGCGTCTGGGTTTACGCAAGGCAAGTCTGCGATGCAGTCATAAGCAATTGCTAGTCTAGCATCACTCTTGCCTACAACAGCGGACAAAGGATCGAAACCCTGGAACCACGAACGAGGAATCAACAAAAAAGCGCACGACACAGACAAGCAGCAATGGCCAATCAGTCTACAGCATCAACCATCGGATCGATCCCAAAGTTTGAGTCTACACTTGTGATTGCATTCCCAGACGTACTTTTGGCAGGACCCAAGATCTTGCTCAGTGCTGCCGATGCACACACCAATGGCACGTCGATTCCAACATGGTCCCATTATTGCTCAAGGTCATCAAAAAACAGTAACGCCGGAAGCAACAGCCGATCAAATTTCGCGGCCACGAATAAGATCCAGCATTCCACAGCAGCAGTTGACGCGAACCAACAGAGGATGAGCCTATTGACCATCGTTGTAGCACCACCAACTATGGAACAGGCGTCCTATCTGTGCGAGGCTATTGTCAACCAGGCACAAACCTCAGGTACAGAGAAGATCATCCTGGTTGCCGCGTCAAATTTCGCAACAAAGGAGCAGCGGACACATGTGGTGCAAATTCATCATGGTATGCTCTATACACTAGTTCTGCATGATAAAGAAGAGTCGGAAACGGAATGAAAGGGGCCAGGGCCTCAGTATTGACGTTTGTATGTTTGGATAACCTATGAAAATGTATTAGATGGAGCGGTCGAGTTCCCAGCAGTACCGAGGGATGTGGCATTGGGAGATCATATCCTGAACACGTTCTTGACCCTGCTGACGTTTGCTGGCGTTCCTACAACGGCATTGGTGCATCCTGCCAAGAAGGGGACAGGTCTCAAGGAATCCCAGGTAAGGGAATAAAATGGGCACCGGTATTTGACTAGGACATTACTCAGACTGATGCTAATACGTTTTTGTATTTTTATTATTATTATATTAATTTTATTTTTTTTGCCCCATTTGGCTACGCACAAAAACCATCGTCAATACTAGACTGTCCTCGAGAACTTGACTACATCGCTGGCATTAGTGATTGGAGATAAGAACTCGGCTGTATTTTCGGCAGAGAGAGCCATTCAGTATAGCGTGCTAAGGAGCGAGGACGACGGCAGTGTCGAGAGTATGATGTATCTGTAGGGGAGCTGGAGATGGGGCATGATATAAAATAAAATCTCATTTTGGTTGGCACCTACCCCTCGATGGAGTCCTTGGATAGCCATGGACAGGGCTGCAGCTGCAGGATAGATAGAGCCTGCCCCTCAAAAAGGGCAAGTCTTGGAGTCGCTGAGACGCATTTTTACATCTCGCATTTCCCGATCAGAGCGGGTTACATGGTTTGGTAGTAGCGGACTTCATTGTTGCGTGCTTGATTTCTCTTACTGCATATGGCTGTGTGTTGTCGCCATAAAACAGATTCGCAATCACAACCCTCTCTCTTTCTCTCTCTGTTCATCCTGCCTCTCATCGCTCTCACGATCGCCTTTTTTTTTTTTTTTGTCGCCCACTCGCTTCGCACTTCTCCTCCGCCTCAGCGACAGACAGACAGACAGACAGACAGACAGACGCCCAATCCGATGCTGCCTCAAACGCTGCTGCTTTCCTCGCCCTCCCTCGCGGCCTCTTTCTCTTCTCCATCCTCCTCCTCCTCCTCCTCCTCCTCCTCCCCTCCCTCTGCCGCCGCCGCCGCCGCCCTTGACCCTCACCGCCACCAACAACAACACCAACTCCCATTCCAACCACAGTATCCCCTCGACCACCCACAGCTCCAACAGCAGCACCTTCTACAACAGCGTCTGCTCCTCCAACAGCAGCAGCAACAGGCCCAGCTCCAGCTCCAGCTCCTGCAGCTCCGTCAGAAGCAACGCCTCCAGGAAGAGTACCAAGAACAGCTACAGCGCCACCACCGCCGCCCTCATTCGCTTGAACATAGATCAGCCTCCTCCTCGCTCTCCCCTGCAACCCAGCCCCCGTCCGATCCCCTCGATTTTGTGCCAACTCAGTCCCCTCTTGCTCCTGCTACGGCTCCATTCCCTCCTCAGCAACCACCACAACCACAGCCGCACCAGCTCCTGTCTCAGTCATTTGTCCACCCATTCCTCGGTACCAGCAGCAACAAGACCGGCCCTCCGAAACTAATCAGTGCCTCAGTTCCCACAACCGCCTCAATGGATATCTTGGCCATGGCCCCGTTTCCGATGCATCAGCACCAAACCTTCGCCTCCAACCTCCCTGTGCTACAGCAACCAGTGCAGCAAATCACTGGTCTCCCAATACAGGCTCAGCAGCAGCAGCAACAGAAAGTACAGCAACGGCAGCAGGCATTCAGCAACAATAACCCGTTCTATCATCCGCTCAAGTACGAGACAGGCCAGTCGCAAGAGTCACAGTTGACAATTAACATGACCAATGTGAGCATGGACACGACCTCTGCTGGCCTCGTAGCGCTTCCCGGCTCCACTCTTGCCCGTAATGGAGTGGACGGCAACCAAGCAAATGGATGGATACGACATGAGCACGCCATGCTGAACGGAGGCTCATCTTTGTTCGGTACTAACACCGGTGAGTGTAAGCATTCATTGGTTTCCTATGTTGCTTTGATCTCCGCCCTTGAACAGCTCAAGGGATTTAAACCTGGTGCAACAAAGCTTGTCTGTATGCCAATGCCACATTACTCATCATACCTCTCTCTCTTTCTCTCTCTCTTTCTCTCTCTCTCTCTCTCTCTCTCTCTCTCTCTCTCTCTCTCTCTCTCTCTCTCTCTCTCTCTCTCTCTCTCTCTCTCTCTCTCTCTCTCTCTCTCTCTCTCTCTCTCTCTCTCTCTCTCTCTCTCTCTCTCTCTCTCTCTCTCTCTCTCTCTCTCTCTCTCTCTCTCTCTCTCTCTCTCTCTCTCTCTCTCACACACATATATATATGCGCGCTGTCTTTTCGCTCCCTACCTCCTACCTATCTTGTTGTTCATCTGTTTGCAACGGCCAATATTTCGTTGCAATGATAAAAAAGACGATCTCTTGCGGAGGTTGTCACACTCAAGTGGCGCCAGTGATATGAGCATCCAGTCTTCTGGTTTCTCCCCCGAGGTAATGCCCTATGAACCTTAATTTAATTTGTGCTCTCTTTACTCGTTTTCATTTTTTTTTTGGTTTCTGAAGATCTGTTTATGCAGTGTGCCTGTGTGCTTTTTATATGATCACCCGCACGTCTCCTCGTTGCATAGTTACTATAACAACCTGCTAACCGACTATTGTCATGTGTAATCACCAATGGATCATTTAGACACAGATGGCGGGATACACGCTCGACGCATGGATTATCCAGAAGAAGGACCAGATGGAGGAGATCTCACCCACGGGTGGAATCATTCAGGCCCCCGCCGTTCAGGAGGTTCGCACCGGCCAGCAGTTCCTCATCAAGCTCCAGCTCAACAAGCAGGGTTCCCCCGCTCAGTCCTCAACAAAATACCCGGCCATGCGTGTCGATCGTCGCGAAGCCATCAACACCGCTGGCGAACCTCGCGCCGGTGCCGAGCCCTTGACCCTGCAGATCATTGTGCATCTTGCCAAGAGTCGCCAGGTTAGGAAAGGTGCTTGTGCCAAGTGCTGCCATAAGGTAAAGAGGAGGACAAAGTCGTCCAATTGCCTTGTTCTTTCATTTTCATCACGATCGTGGATCTGTATGATGTCAGTGAGAAGATCGCTGTCTAACGAGCTGGACGCGTGTGTGTGTGGTGAAGTAGTACGGTCCTTCTTCCCCTATTCTGGTCTTGCTTGATCCTCTCTCGCCATCAGTAACAGACCCATCTTCATACGCCCACCTCGACACGACGACTGGATCCGTCACCATCCTGGCCAAGGTAATCTGCTCATCCACAGACCATGGCGAGCGCGGTAACAAGGACCGATATCTCTTTGAGTTCCGACTCAGGCGTACAAGCAGCGTTCTGAACAACGTGACGAAGATGAACATAAGTCCCCTGGGCGCAGACTCAAGGGAGGATGATGCTGACACCATCGCCAGCTGCTATACTGCACCGATCATGTGCTCTGGCCACCACAAGGCTAAGCGGGTCTACCCTAACCAGCGACCGTCCAAGGTCACTAAGGACGGACCTATGCCCAAGACCAAGGTAGTCAAGCGCCAAAAGGATATTCCCAGCCTAGCTGACCAGATCCAGACGTCACAGCTGTTCCCCAGCCGGCAAGATGAGTTCCTTCGATCAGGGTCAACCTCAAGCAGCTCCACTTACCCTTCGCCACTCTCGTTCATGCAGGACAACGTCCCAGGCGCTTCGGCCATGTCGAACTTTGGCGACGATCAGCCAAGCGATCTTGAATTCGGAACCAGCACTATCGGCAACCAACAGCTCCTGAATTCGACTGACAATAACATATTGGATCCATCACAACCCCTGCAGCCGCAACCTCCAAGGATCTTTGAGGTCAGACCCGACCATGGCCCCATCCGCAAGATCACAGACGTCGTACTCCGTGGACTGTTCTTCCGCGATGGCATGGTTCCCTACTTTGGATGCTTTCCTGCCCAAGACATCGTCGTTGAGACATCTAACCTGATCATCTGTAAGGCCCCCGACAGCCCCTTACCCGGAACCGTTTCCATCACCATCTATGACAGCGTCGGTAACACCTTTGTAGATCTGAGTCAGTTCACATATACCGACGACTCTGAGACTGAGCTCTTGATTTTGCAGCTCCAGCTCCGACTCGCCCACCGTGCTCTTGAATATCTACACAGTCAGGCCACTGGTCAGAAAGGCAGTGCCAACGATATCTTGAATAGTATTCCTGGGCTAGCGTCAGCTTCACCTCGCTCGCCCTTGGGCGGGAATGTTATGTCGGACTCGGCTGATCATATGGACGATTCGACCATTTTGACGCTGGATCAAGTGGAGGAGGGAATTCTAAAGACTCTTGATCAGCTTCCGGCAGGATTCGACATTTCTATGCCTCTGGATGACCAGGGTAACTTGCTCCACCTCAGCATCCTGCTTGGACTCGATAGGCTAACCATGCGCTTGATCGAGGAGGGATGTGAGCTCGAGGCTCTCGACACCTGGGGCATGACACCACTTATGTATGCGGTCGTTAAAGAGAGCGAACTCGTTGTCCGTTCTCTGGTTCTGGGTATGTATTGCAACGAGACTTCCTGCTGTCTCTGTACATTATAATGCGTTGTGGCCCCTCAAAAACTAGAATGCTAACATGGACTTTTTTTTTATCTACTTATTTTTTTATGATATGCTACAAATAGCCGGAGCCACCTCGTCTGGTGCCAAGACCCCCAAGGATTTCTACAATTTCTTGCCTCGTCCCGTCACGCCTACACGTGCCGTCGTTGGCTATTTGTCGGTCTGCTGCGAACGTTATTCGAAGACCTTAAGGACGCTGGTTTTGGGTAACACGCTTGGACAGCCAAATCTGGTTCAGATTGAGCACGAGGGGACATTGGAGTCATCAGAGAGTGAATCTGATTCAGAGGAGCAGGCAGAAGAGGAGAAAGGCGATGCTGCGGTTGCTTCTCAGGTGACGGACGAAAATGCTCCAGTTATTGTGGGGACTGCGCCTAAGGAGGTCGGCGCTGGAATGACCCCTGCAGCATCTGTGGAGGGGAGTGAAGATAATACGTTGGCTCAATTGGCACAGACGCTCAGGGGCGTTCATCTCACACACGACATGCCACCATTGTACCAGCAGGATTTACCACCGATGCATGTTGTTGGCTCGGACGGCTCGATCACCGTCAACATGAAGGTCTTGAAGGGCGATGAGATCCCTCGGGGTGTTCCTGGTATACAGACGATTACCACCGACAATGAGGAGTCTGGCTATCACAGCGGTGTGTACTCTGAGGTCCAGGACCGACTGAGCCTCTTGAACAAGGCATTGTTGCCCTCAGATGGACTTAAAATGACAGTTGCATTCCACAGAGCTGCTTCCAGCACACCAGTGTCCCCAGCGGGTGTTGAGATCCCCACGCCCGAGAACTTATTTAGGACAGGCGATAATTTCAACATCGAGATTCGTTTGACGACGACGGTTGTGCCTGGCGTGGAGTACATCCCACTGCCCAGAGAATTCCTGGGAATCCGATTTCCTCGCGAGATGGTCAAGCGCGTAAACGGTCGTCCAGTGTCGATCTTGAACGAGATGACCTATATTCTCAGGGCTTCGATCGAGCTCGGCACGCGCAATACGATGGTCAAGGCTTCGAGTAGTGAGGTCCATCAGCACCAGGGTGATGGCATCGAGCTCAAGGGCGCGTGTAACAATTGCGCAAAGTATCTCCATGAGAATAAGAAGGTCTCGCCATCTCGTGTGTCTCGCGAGGACCCGACGGCGTACCCGATCCTGCAATTCAGTGTCCCTGCTCCTGTCAACCCTATGCAGCAAGCTATGCTAGAGGACTTGGACTACAATGCGGAGGTAATGGAGTTGCACAATGGACATGTGGAGGTCAAGGCGCGCGTCAACTGTTCAAGTCTGCATCATCTTGTCCAGCGCGAGAAGGCCAGGCGCGCAGCAGAGCTTGCTCTGCCCTCGTCTTCGTCTGCGTCCTCATCTTCGACTCCTTCAACATCGGCATCAACAGTTGCGACTGGCAAGGCGGCGCTGGGGGCGAAGGATCTAGAAGACCCTGGATTCGTGTTCATGTTTGAGTTGGTCCATCCAACGTTGAACCGAGTGGTGGCCAAGTTTGAGACAGGGCCTTTCTTATTCCAGAGCTACTCTCTCAAACGAAGAACCTGAACGTAGACGAAGTGCAAAGATCATGTTTGGTTTCTCTTCTGTATCCTCATTTTTCAGTTCTGTTTGTATTATTAAGATATTACATTTAATAGATCCATACGTTAAACAACGCTGAAAAGACGAGACGAATTACTTACCGCCAAAAAATGGGCTAGCGGACTGTAGTGTGTACCGTGGTGTGTTTGCTATTTGCAGAATACGACTTTGTTGCGGTAATTCGTGCCAGTGCGACATGGATCGACAAGCAAACAGTGGGCGCTGGAATCGAAACCGTGGCCAAGACTCTAGAGCTGACTCTTCCCGTACAGTCCACGCCCACTGCTGATCCATCCAAGGTGTGATCAACACTGTCCTTAACCTGGACCAAGCAAAGAATGGATGCTGCATAGGACTTGCAAGGCTATGTCAGAAAGCTCTTGAGAGGTTCTGAGGAGGAGGAGAGGGAAGGAGAGTAGTACTTCCTTCGTCTTTTACCATCATTCGGTCCCTTGGATGGATTCATTAGGCAAGACATACGAGATTTTCTTTGAAGACGTTTGCTGCTCGAAATTTTGATAGGAAAATGAGGCAAGTCGCATCGGCTGCCTGCGCATAATGCCGACTAGAATTTTATGTCCTCGCCCCGAGTTTTCGTCCTGTTTGGATTGCTAGGCTATAGTGCACTTGAGAATTCAGGTAGGCGATGGACTGATGGTCATGTTTGGTGGCAAAGAGCACAGCAAACGCACGCGTCCTGGAACATGGTTTGAAGGTCGTGTTGAACAGCACGGCACATGACAAATCTTCCTATCCCAGTTGCATGTTTAAATAGAACAATGAAGGTTTTATGCTAACATGTTTTGTGAAAGGAAATGCGATTAAGAGTTCTAGCGTTACAGTTATCTTTCCCTTGATGGGCAGCTGACCGGTATGTCTACTGAAGATAGGCGCTAAGGGGAGAGGCGCCAATGGCCAATGCCGGGAACTGTGAGTTGAGGGCCTTAATGATCTCGATCATCTCTTGGCGAGTGTGGGGCTTGAGCTCATCCTCCTTTGATAAGACCTCGGCAAAGATCGACAGCAGCTGATTCAGGTTGTTGAAGACCCAGGTGTTCTGGGACTGGATCAACGAGAACAGCAGCTTGTACACGGGCTCGTTTTCCTCATAATCACGCTTCAAGGGCAGAGCCTGGACAAAGACTGGCAGGATTTGCTCGATAGGCACAGCGTTGGGGTGCTTCATGATCATGCGCGCCACAGCACCACAGGCATTGTCCGTGACATTGTCCAAGTTCTGGCCTTGGAACAAGGGGTATAAGGCCGCCAGAAGAGTGGGATATTCAGACGAGATGTCGAGGTTGGTGTTCTGACAGAGGGCTCCAATTGTGTAGGCGGCGTTGCTGCGGACCTCGGCCTCCTCGTCCGAAAGACCCTTGACAGCAATTGGGAAGATCACTTCCGTAAATTCAGTCACACCGCTCAGCATGCCGGCGGCGATCTCACCCAGGCATCCGATCGCCATCGAGCGCTCGCTCGTGGGCTTGGACTTTTTGTAATACTTGGCAATGTGGGGAATAAAGACCTTGGCATAAGGGACAAAGCTCTCGCCCAAGGCTGCTGCCAAGGCGCCCACCAAATCCGAGGCAGATGAGATCAACAGTGCATCAAACTCGGCCTGTTCGTCTTCATCCAACAGGCCCTCATCATCGGCAAGTTCCTGCTGGCAGTAGGCTTTCTTCTCAAAGATCAGGTTCAAGTGCTCGGCAATAGCAGTGATATCTATGAACAATCGCAATTAAAAACTTCCAGTTAATAACAATTAAACAGTATCCAAACGTTGGGTAGATCAAACCTCTGTAGGACTTACGATCGGCAATAATGCCAGGGCCACAAAGCTTGACAGTTTCGACCATCTCCTGACAGACCTGAACAACGACCATTCTATGTCGTGGTAGAAGGTAGTACGAGTGACCCCAATATGTTAGCGTTCATCGTCTCAAATATACAGAATATCCTGGTAAACTGCTGAGAGAGCACTGTGTTTTTGTTCAGTTTCAATCGATACATCTCATGACTAAATCGAATTGAGCTGGATTTAAAGTAACTGTGCTGAGATCATCATTGAAATCCCCCTCCCCCTCCGGTCCATGCTCCATCATTATTTGTAAGAAATGGATTAGTCGAACTTACTTGTCATCTTCATCCTCCCAGATAGAAAGGATGGCTGGCATCACCAAAGAGTTGAGCTGGGCAACATTGTCATGAAGGGGGATAGCAACAGGAAGACCAGCCTTCCACTCCTCGCAGTTCGACAATTTGTAGAAGGTGCGCAAGAAGTTAAACAAGGCGCCACAGGAAGCCTTGCGGACACCGTCAGACATGTGCGTAGTCAAGTCGATCAACTCCTTGACACTCGACTCGACATAGGGCAAGAATGCGGACCGAGTGTGTTGGAAGAACTCCCCGATGGTGTCAGCAGCAACCTCTTTCTCATCAGCAACAGCCGAGCGGAAGACGTAGTTCAGATCCTCCGAGGTATCCTCTCCATCATCGTCGACGGCGCCATTGTCATTGTCGAAGCGGGTGGTATTCTCGTCCAATTGGCACGAAGCGATCAATTGAGGAACAATGCCGGCCAAGTAAGGCGAAAATTCGTCTTCAAAGACCTGGGCAATTCCAGCAAAGAAGTAGTAACCGCACTCACGGAGGCGGGTGTTGTCCAAAAGTAATCCTTCCATAGCCAAGTTCATGAGGTCGTTCAAGTGGGGCTATAATGAACCAAATATGAGCATAGTAGGTTAGTATCGTGCACAGAGTATCCAGGATGGGATGATCCGAACTACAGATCAAATGCTTTGCATACTTACTCGGAAAGCATCCTTGCCAACAGCAGCAGCAATGGCGCCGAGGGCATCAGTAGAGACAGCACGGAGCATGAGCTCGTCTTCGTTGGAGTGAAGGGTCATCAAGTGCTGGAGACGCTTCATGACTTCGGGAAAGTAAGGCGTGAACTCGGAGCCAGAGGCATGAGCGGCACTACCGATGGCAGCAACAACAATGGCGCGAGTCTCGCCCTGAGCGTGATCGAGCATGTGCAGCAACTTTTCCATCAGGACAGGGAGGTACTGGAGGATGTTCTCGCCCAAGCCCTCCAAGATGGCGTCTAAGGCATTGCAGGCCTGCTTGGTGATCTCGGGAGTAGGTTCATTCATGAGATTGAAGACCAAGGGCAAAAGAGTGGCGTGGTTCTCGGCGACCTCCTGATCAAATTCCTCAGCGAACGAGCTCAGAGCCATACAGGCAGCACGGCGCACATTGGCCTCGGGATCCTGGAGGCCAGCGCAAACAACCAAGAGAAGATCATTGAACTTGGGGCGGATGAAATCGACAGAGCCTTCGACCAGGACAGCCAAGGTGACCATTGCGGCCTTGCGATACAAGGGATCCGCATTGGCCATGTAGGCGAGAATGCCCTCCATGGCGACGGGGAAAACCTGCTGAGGAGGAAGGTTTGTGGCAAGAGTGTTGATGACCTTAAAGGCGAGACGAGCAGGCGAGTCCTCGTCCGAATCCTCTGGCTCCTCTTCGGCAGCAATGGGCATCAAGGCTTGGATCATAGGAGTAACCAGCTTAAGGCGCTGGATCTTAGTCTTCTTGTAGGCAATGGCCCACATGAGGAAGGAGAGACTCTGGACACGCATGACGGGCTCATAGGTCTTATTGGCACCAACGTTCAGGAAGAACTGGATCAAGTTCTGGATGTGCTTAGAGAGAATAGGGACCTCGAGCAATAAAAGCGTATCAAAAACGTCGAAGCACTTGGCAGCAGACTCCTCGTCGCTGTCGTTGAGGCACTGTTGGAGAACGTTGACCATATGGGGAACGAGCTCAGAGAACATGGCGATTTCGTCCTTCTGGTCCTCCTCGATAAAGTCGGCTATCTTGCCCAAGGCTTGGACAGTGGTGATACGGACGATCTGTGAATCGGGGTCGACAATGGTGCGGCTGAACAATTCCAAGAGCTGGCGCAAGTTGTCGGAAAAAGCATCGGTGACTTCAAAGATGGCATAGATCACATAAACACCGACCTCGCGGTGTCCGGCGGTGCTGCTGTTGGAGCACTGGAACAGAAAAGCGAGGAGCTCGTTCCAGGTGTTGGCAGGAATCTCGAGTCTTCCGACGGTGGCGATGACACGAGCGGTCGAATGACGGGGAAGAGCCCTAATAAGATAAAAACAAGAAATGGCTACATACTTAGCAAGAGAGAACCAACACTAAAGGCAGGTTCAACAATATCCCACGGACGCAGCTGAAAAAAAAAAAAAAAAACCTTACTCCTGTTCGCTCAGGATGATTTCCAAGAGCTTAGCCTTGACGTTGGTGCGGACGTCTTGCTCCATCTTTGTCCACCAGGTCGAGATCTGCTTGCGGAGCTCGACCGCAGCAAGTTGACGGATCTAGCGGAGAGTAATTCGCAACAACAAACGCGCCAAGGCATGATTAGATAAGACGTGTGTGATTTGGTCTGCCTTTTGTTTGTTTGTTTTTGCATTTTTTTTTTTTTTTTTTTTCCTTCGCGGGTGCTCTCAGAATCTTGTTGAAGGTGCTTTCTTGAGCCGCTGACAAAAAAAAGTGTAGAACGCCACTCCTTCAGGAAGAAGACGTACGCACACAAGGGCAACAAAGACAGCCATCCCAATGAGGCCAATTGAACCCACACTCCACATATGCATGCCCGCTGATTATGATCGAGCTATTACCTCCTTTTGGGGCGAAGTCTGGATGATATGGACAAGGGCGGGGACGCAGTTGGCATCAGCAAAGAACTGGGAGTTCAATGCCTTGGTGGCCTGTAATCATAAGAAATGACAAGATACAGAGGCAGAAGGGGATTAGTATTTTCGGTTGCGGCTGATCAGGATCAGGATCAGGATCAGGATGGATTGCAGCCAGGCACGGTTGAGGGAAGGATCCGAAAGTAGATCCAGTGTTGGACGAGAACGCACCTCCTTGATCTGATTGCTGTCGTTCGAAAAGAGGACCTGCTGCAGGGTCTGCTCGAGGCCAGCCACGTATTGCTCCATGCTGAGGTACAGAGTGGGGAGGAACGAAGAAAAAGAGGAGAAAGAGGAGGTGAAGAAGAAGCGACGGCAAAAACGAGGTCGCTTGTAGGTCTACAGGTCTGCTCTGTTTAAAAGGAAGCCGCTTCCAAGATCTTGGACTCTCGTCCAGCGCATTTCTTTTACATGGAGTCGAATCAGTTAAATGAAAATCTAGAGGGAAGCCTAGGGCATTCCACGTGAGGATTCACGTACACAGGCTGGCTATATCTCAGCAGCGTACCTGATGACGCTCCCCCGCTTGGACCCAAGCAAGCTGCTTCCAATGCATCATGTCCCGTTAAGGATAAAAGGGTAAAGGGTAGAGGATCATAATGGGCCGTGGAGTGGACGCAGTGATAAGCAGCCCAATGGTGCCCATCGGGGGCATGTGTGGGAAGGACAGCGTCTGGCACAGCTCGAATGGGGGCTCTCGGCAGCTCTGCGACCCCTCGCCGTGGCCTGGTCTGCTGGGGTGGGATGCGTTTGAGGACGGGTCGTTTCTTTTTAAGGTGGGCTTGCCCAGCCGCAAATGATATATGATATCATCCTCGGGCCTAAAGGAAAAAGAAAGACCCCCCAGCAAATCAGCCTCCTCGCTTTTCTTTTCCCAAGTCTTGGTGTGTGGGGCCCCGGTCCAACCAACTGCCGACTTCGCCGGACAGCCAGACACACAGCCAGACACAGAGACGTAGCTTCTTCTTCGTCTCTAGATACTTTGCAATAAAAGCGCCCATGGTGGCCGCCCTGTCTTCCCACTCCGCCCTTGTTCCTCCAGCAATCAATCCTCATCCCAGATTCTTCTTTCTCCCCCCCACACTCCCGCCCTCTCCACACTCCTTTCGTCTCTGCCCCTGCCCCTTTCGGCCCTGCTGTCCCTTATCCTCTCTGTCTGCAGGCACACATTCACACATTCACACATTCACACTTCACACTTCACAGAAAAGCCATTGAATACCTCACCACCGGAGGAAAATGTCACTGCTGCCCGCCTTGTCCTTTGAAGACCTCCCCAAGCGAGATCCATCCGTCCGGCGACCGAAACGCTGCCTCGGCCTCCCATCGCTCGTCGTCCAGCGCAACGACGGGTTCGAAAACATGATGATCGACTCGGCGATCGTCTGCACCCCTCCACTCGATATCGAGTCCGACTCTGGTGACGACGACGATGCTGAGCCCTCGATGCGATCCCCGGTCTCGTCTCCTTCCCTACAGCCCGTATCCATCCTCATCGATCGTAAACGCAAAGATTCACAAGAGCATACCTCGTCCATCCACCTCCTAGACCGCAACCAGAGTGAGCACGAGGTCGGACATGCTCCCCCTGCGCTCGATAACTATGGCAAAGGCGCACAAGGCCGTCGTCCCACTGTCACCTTTGACCTCGAGACGGACGAACCTCCCTCACCCCCAGCAAAGCTCAATGCCCGTTTCTCATTGGACTCGAATCAACGATCCATCCGCTTCTGTCATCATGATGATGATAATGACGATGAAGCGGACGAGAACAGTCTGTCCGATTCTGATGCCGGCGACGAGGCCTCGACTGGTCTCCAACAACCTCTGTCCAATCCTGAGGATCGTGACCATGTTCACAAGGCGGAGAAAGCCTTCCGCCGGGTGTCCATCTCGCTACCCGTTGACGATGCCGATGCGAATGAGAATGCCGTTGAAAACACCGACGTTTTACATCATCCATCAACGAGCACATTTGTTGATTCTGATGACGATGCCACTGAAGCGACAAAGGCCGTAATTAGCGATAGCAATGCACCTCAAGATGCGATCCTAGACCACGTCTTCAATGGAGCTGCACCTCAAGACATGTTAGTGGCTCTAATCGAGCGATCCTCTGAGCTTAAGGCGCTGGCCGCCCGTCACTCGGAATTCTTCAATCTCATCTACAGCAGCCTCTCTAAGGCCGTCCGCGACGATTTCAAGAAGCTGCTTTTCATGCCAAGGGAAGAGCTCTCGGATCGAGACTGGATGGACGCCATTACTGACAGACTTAGCCCCCTGCCTCCATGCATCCTCGAAAAGTTCAAGGGTATCGTCGGCTGGATCGGACCTGACTGCGAAGGGGATGAAAATGTACTTTGGGGTGAAGATGAGTATGGCTACCGCGATTCGTCGTTCGAGCAGGTCCAAATCAAGTGGCTGCGAGATATTGAGGACTTTACTCTCGAGACCTTCAAGCAGTGCTATCCACAGTTCTTCATCAATGCGAACGAGCAACTGAGAGGCCGGCGTATGTCTCATGGCGGGGACCAGCGAGACCAATATGTGATCTTTTGCGAGACCCTAGGCCTGACCCGGACGGACCTTCCCTGCGATAACGCCTGGGCCAGACGCATGAACGGCTGTCTCGAAAAACATCCAGAGCTGCTGTTGCAGCTCAAGGAGATTATCGCGTACGAGGTTGGATACGACGATTAGTGCACCTGCATGAGCGATATTTTCATCGCATTGCTCTCTGTTTCTGTCCTTCGCATTTTCCAGCACTTACTCTTTTTTGCCGTTGTTGTAGTTCTTCTTGTCCCCGCCTAACTCCAGTACGGACTATATATTCACCATATCTTGTAAATTTTGTCCTTAGTCTAGTTTTCAGTTTGGGTTTTTTTGTTTGTCCTTATCTCTGTACATTTCACATACATTAGTTATATTAGTTTGCAGCACCTAACACAAAAAACGAGACAATTTCGGTGCTACCGGTGTTTGTTGGCGTTTTCTTTTCGGTCTAAACGACAAACGACAGCGCCATGTAGAATAAACTCAAGGGCCCCCGCCGCCTTAATACAACCCCGTGTTTGCCTTGCATTCTGCCATAGCACTCTTCAGCAGAAAGAAAACGTGATGGGATCGCCATTTCGAGTACGGCTGTCTCTTGAGGACCAACACACTGTGCTCGCTGTGCAAAGTGTAAAGAACCAGGTCTCAAGGAACGTGGTAGAATGAACACAATGTCTCTCAATAGCAAACTGACCTTCTCGTTCCTGGGGTCAGTGCGTTGTTAGACTATTGACATCATCGTGCTTTTCCATGTACTATAGGATAGAAAGGCGTGATGTTGATCCTAGAAGTGAGCAACTGCTTTTAAGTCAATGCAGTCTGTGGCTCGCCTGCACGCCTGAGGGGATCTGGCGTCAATAAATAAATATATGTCTTCTCGATGCACGTAGAAGTCAACGACAAACATCAGCCCCTTCGTCGTAGCATTCGTATGCATACTACAGCGTCTGAAAAAAAAAAAGAGGGAGGGGGCGGGGGCTGGTAGATGCACGCTGTTCGTTTTTTTTTCAGCCGACTTGTGTGGCAAGAGCGCGCGCTATCTCTCGAAAACCATTCAGAGTATTTCATCGCGGATTGGATTTTCGCCTACATGCCTTGCTCCGTCTAAGTTTTAGGGTTCAATTTCCGTATCCCACTGTGCTGCCCCACCCGGCTCTTAGAATTGCTGTTGCTGTTGTTGTTGCGGGCGTGTCAGCTCTGGGGACCCACTCTTGGGGCTCTATGAGCCGGAGGGAAGCGTGGGCCATATTGTGGACAGCATTATGGTTTCGATCTCTCTCTTGGGTGCATTGGTGGTCTGACCCTCGACCTTTCCTAAGTACTGCACTGGCAGTATGTCATAGAGACGGCTTGGTGTCCGTCTCGCAGAACAATCCTAATGTCCTCCAAGTTCTACTTCTTTGTATTCGACACGATAGCACCCCTTCGGCTCCTTCTTTCTCGGCTAAAGACCAAGCAGTTGGCCTGTGGACGTACCCGTCCGTAGTGGTCGATCTCGTTAAAACGTATTTCTTCTGCTGATACCCTGCATCGATTTCTGCATCGTATTTCTTGGGTATTGGTAACCTATCCTTGAGGAATTTTGACAGAGCCGCCCGAGCAGCATGGTCTCGTTCGTTTTGCTGGACATTTGCCGCGTGCTGACTGCAAGTGTTCTGCTTCTGTGAATCCTGGAACGTGAAGAAGATGCGGTTGCAGAGCTTGGGTGCGCCCGTGGAGAGGGTCGATGAGGAATGTTTTTTTGGTGTAGTTCAGCTCCCGGTGAAAGAAGAGGCTGAAGAACAAGTCTCCTGGGTGCCTCGATGCTTGATCTAGCGCCTGTGCTTCATTTCCTCCCAGTGCGTTGACGACCATATCCTGCTTGGCTTGGCTGCGGTCAGCAAACAAAACTTGAATAAGCAATAAGCATATGCTCGGCTATAGTAAAATGCGTGTCTTTGAGGCCGCTCTCTGGCATGAACACCATTTGCTCGGAGGCCGAGAGATGGGAGCTCAGGAGCCAAAATAGGCTGATCTGATCGTGCTCGCTCGACGTCCATTTCTTCAAATCAATGGACCGGATAATGCATGGCACCTGCGCCGTTCGCCTACTCTAGGTTACTTTGCCGCGCCTTCTCTACCAGATCAGTGGTGTTGCGCAGGAAATGCATCTGCAGCTGGTCGGCAAGAACCCGGACAACCTGACCCATAAAACTTGGGATGCCCGACCGGATGCCGTTGCTCGCTGGAATGGCATGATGCGTGTTGGAAAGGCTGCGCCTGTAGTTCCTTGTTACCTCCCTCGCACCGGCATTGGCTGTGGTATCCGCTCGTAGACTTTCTCCTGCTGTTCCTTCTTGGTCGTGGATGGTCATGGTATCGCTGATGATGTCTTGAAAAAGTTATTGCTGCGGAAGCCACTAAGCTAGACAAATAGATCCCTCCTGTAATCGACGTCTGCTCGCGTCAGCTAGGGCGGGCTACCGTGACAGCGCCGATTTACACCGTAATCGCCTGCTGAGAGCATCTGACCGCGTCTGTCGCTGCAAGTATCATCTCTTGCATTGTGCGAACGGCGTGCTTGTGGAGCCGGTCCTGCTCTGCCTCGTCAGCATTCATGATCTCGGACAAACCAGCCCTCAACTGTGTCGAAAGAGCGCCACAGTTCAATACAACTGTCCCGAAATGGCGTTGAAGGGCATGTCCATGATGGCTGCTTGATTCCTGGACTTAGGTGTGTTCGTGCCAACGGTCTCAGAGGAAATGGCTCTCGCACATCTAGACGACGAGTTGAATATAGGTTTCGGTTTCGGCTTTCTCGTTTTCATTTGCTTTTTGGTTGGCATTAGAATGGCCGGGGCGAGTGCGTGGGTCGGGGATGGTGGAGTTCGGTATGGCTTGAGTCGGCACTGGTTCGGCGCCATGTACTCGTTTCATGTTGTTTGTGTGGCAGGAGGATTGGAGGCCGGGCCAATGAGAGGGGGCCGACGTCTCTCGTTATAATACTGTAATACCTTTACCATTGTAAGGCCGTGCGCATCTAGGGTGTTCTTAATAAGACCGCGCCCTCTCATATTCTCGACGTAGGCATTATTGATGGCTATACCGGCTACGATCCACATAACTGCACCGAGACCAAGTCGTTGAGGGACATCGGTCGAGACTTTGATGCTCGGACCTGTTCTGGGAGCTTTGGCGGAAAAGAGAGTTAGAGTCGCTTGCTGCGACATACACAGGCGAAGGTTGGGTAGAGGTGCACACATCCGAATCGCCGGTGAACTGGTAAACATCCCAAACAAGGATTATGTGGCGGGGTACGAGGTCGGTCGAGGAGACGCATCCATTGGTGGTTTGCCAGAAGCGCTTAGCTTTCTGGATCTCCTTCTAGTCTTGGTTTTCTAAGAACGCGGTTTGATGCTAGTGGAGACACAATGCTCTTGAGGGCAAGAGCAGCAGATGGTTGAAATTGCTATTCATAAGGATCCGGAACGAGTGTAGAACTTGCGTCAAGTGGACCGAGGAAAAGTTCATCAAAGCTTGCGTTCAAACGAGATAGTGGTAGGCATCTTACCGCCGCTTGAGATTCATTTCAGCTCATACATCATGCGCATTCCTTTTTGCATAGTGGATGGACCATCCAGATGAAAGGTAACTTTGCTCTGGGCAAACGCCTCGGGAAGTCTGTAGTAAAGACTGTGAACCATTGCGTCAGTGGCTCTGCATTCGGTTTGTTGGGCGATGATAGCGGCTACCTGGGTTCAGGCTCGGGCTTTCTCTCTCCTTGTAGGAATCGTAGAAAATCGATGCCTAAGTTGATACGATGCATCCGTGGTACAGCGGTATCACATTCTTTCAATGGCCGTGTCGGCCAAATACCGAGAGGCTCTATCCATTCCCATTATGATTGAGTAGCTCGCTGATGTATATAAAGATAGGGTACAGGCGGCAGTGATCCGGAATTACAACATTGAGGTATGCATTCTAATCTACACCTAGACAAGATGGAGGCATTCGACCCGATAAAGCCCTGTAATTGCTCTACTGGCCCCGACTGCTTACAAGCATGAAAAGACGACAAGGACTTGCGGACTTAAAGAGATTAACTCTTTACAAATGAGTTTTGACAAAGATGCTGTGAAACGAGAGAACATTAAAACGAATAGGGGGCGTAGGGTATAGCAACTCACGGAAACGCAGCGAAATACAGTCTTGTACTTATGATTCTATGCTCTCGAGTGTCCATGCAGTAGCACCGTGCAGAGTCAAGGTTGCGGAACTCTGGAAGCCAGTGCACGATGTCAGTTGAGAAATTGGAACAGCAATCCCTAAATTAACGAACTTTGGACTCAGTTGGTGATCTTTTTGTGGAGCATGGAACGTGATGATAGGTTGTCAATGTGATACAGAAGGGTTCCTTGGTATATTACAGGATGTGATGTTGCCATTGTGTATATGGTAGACAGTGAAATGGAAAGCGGATAAGGCAGTAGGGTGCAGACGAGAGACGAGAAGCTGGGGACAGAAAAGAGTCGGAAGTGTTAATGGGTTGACGAGAGACCTTTATGGACGCCAAGGCACATTGGTATTATCAGAACTAATAATGCTCAGCGCCTTGGTCTATCTAAACGTGCTACATGGGCGTGCTTTGTATTATGATATTCGGACCGTCCGAGTTTTTTTGGCATACGCACTGTTTTTGACACTGGTTTCACATTGCTCCTCATTGTCTACGCGTTATATTCAGCTTGCCAGCTCGGATACCAACTGGATCAGAATTACGCGATGCAAGATTGGAGAGCAGGCTTAGACCCTCACCAATGAGTCCAGGAATGCTCCGGAGACTATGACCAGCCTCAAGAACCAAATGGAGGTCTCTCGCATTTTTGACAAGGAACACTAAAAACATCCCTTCGCATAGTTCTTCAGATATTAGAGGGTTGCGGCACTTAGCCCAACGCACCGCGACAGTAACATATGGCAGATCGATTTCATGAGTCAAAGAACACACGTATATCTCAGGCACGCACTCTTCTGCTTGCACCGATCCTGACCGGCGATGAAAGAGCGTCCCATTGAGAGAATAATTGGCCGGATTGTGCAGTATTGGAAAGATACCTTTCGCTCTGATAGCGGGAAACGCATAGCAGGACAGGGAAACGGCGCCCACAGACTAGCACATTATCTAGCCTATTGAAGTTAAGCGGAAGGCCATTTTGGAGCCTCGGAGCAGGTCCGGAACGCTATGGTCCATCTATGAGACACAGCTCAACGCGACATCTAGAAAAAACACTTTAGAACTCAGCAATGCGGTTTTACCCAATAATTGAAGGTCAGAAATGTAAGTTTCTGCAATAGCCCGGAAAACGTTGGAAAAAATATAAATATGTATATATATTAATAGACTGGGTGAAAATGGAGGGGTTCTCCTGGAGAAGGGTATAGGCGGATTTACATGTACTCTATTTGACGCCTGTGCCAATCGCGTTGTCTCAATGCTCCAACTCTCGAGAATGTGCTCATTTGGATGCCAACCAAGGCCTGAGCATGGGCCATAAACACCTGGTCTACCATCATCGGTCCAAAGACACCCAGCGTCTCGGCCGTGCCCATCTGCTCGTGGTCCAGGTATTTCCAGCCCAGGTTTGCAAACTTTTTTAGCTCCTCCGGCCGGCGCTCGTTTGTTGCAACAAAGACAGGCATGACTTCGGCCAGTGATCCTGAGGGGCTATATTGGGACTGGATCTTGTCGATCCGCTGGGCGATCTGCTCCGTCGTTGGGAAGCAATGTACCATCTTTGGTCCCGGAAAGTTGGACTCGCAGTACTGCGCAAAATCGCCACGACGGATATGGATCGCAATGTACTTTTGAGTCGGCACTACCTCCTGCCTTGACTTGGGGTCATACACCGGTTCGGGCTTGACTAAGTTCCTGTCCAAGAACTCCTGCACAAAGTCTTCGAGCTCAGGCGTAAAGTGCAGGTGCTGGCCGAAACGATCCCACTCGGATTTGTCCTGAACGCTGATTTTGTAGGTGTTGGAGATGCAGATGAACTTGTCGCGCTTGTAGGGACCAAGGACCCTAGTGATGGTATCCAGCTTAGTGGCATCGATCTGGAGGGGGCTCAATGTCACGTTGAACTTCCACTGCTTCAAGAATCCCTTTGCCGTAAAATCGATCGTGCGCTTGGATCCGAAGCCGCAGGTGATCTTGCAGTCCAGCTGGCTGTACTCGGCCAACTCGGCGTCGCGCAGCTTGTGGAATTCAATGACTTTGGCTCCAGTCAGTTCCTGGAATCGCTCCAGGTCTAGGAACTTTGACCATGGCTGGTTCTGCTTCGACTTGTCGTGTGAAGAAGCAGTGATGGGTGGGATTATAAGGGTGCGACCCAATGCCTTGGCGACCTCCATGCCTCGAAGCATTCCATAGAACTGGTTGGTGATACCGGCGTAAGGGAGGTAGGTGACATACTGAACGTCATCCTCTTGATCCAGCGTGTCCTCGAAGGGCGTGTACTCTTCTTCCTCTTGCTCCCCATCATCCTCAGGAGTGGTGTTGTCTGTGCTATCGACGTCCGAGTTACTGTTGCGACCCTGGATGGAGGGTTCGCGTGAGTCATAGGAGGGCAGCTCCTCTGGCACCTGCTTTCGCTCGCCCTGCTGACCATAGCGGCCGTGGTAATCGATGTCGTTGTTCGAGGGACTGCCAGCGTCCCTGCTGCCATAAACGCCATTATTATTGGATTCCAGCTTGGTGCCCTGTTCATTGCTCCTGTATGATTGCCTCCAACGAATGATGGCGTAGTCTGCGTCCTTGGCGCATCCGACTGCATTGCTGCTGCTGCTTAAGAGTGGGCTGACGATGACGTGGAAGACAAGCATGGCCCCTGATGTAATCAGGAGGATGAACGACACAAGAAGAATGAGCTGCCGCTGAGAATATCTTTTTGAGGCGGTTGTTGTGGTGTTGCTGGAGTAGCGGGGTAATAGCGCCGGCCTGAACTTGGGGGAGGTGGCCATGCTGGAATCGGGATCTTGGTCTTGGTCTTGGTCTTGATCTGCCGCTGATGGGATATCTTTTCGTTGAATTGACGTTGGATGAGGGGATGGAGGTGAGATGAAAAAAAAAAAAAAAAAAAAAAAAAAAAAAAAAAAAAAAAAGATGAAACAAGACGAAGGACGAGGGAGAATAGGGGAAACCCTTGCAATTAGGAAAAGGTGTTCAGCGCTAATAATAAACTCACTGCAATTGACAATTGATATCAGGACAAGAACCTATTCTACCATTCTACCCCGCTTAGCTCGAGTGGAGTTGGTGGATAGACCTCCTCAAAGACTCACTTAATATAAAATGAGCATTTGTGTTCTGCTCTTTCCACCAGTAATCTCAATTGGACGTTGAGATAAAAGAACGCTCGTATCACACAAACAATCCATGCAGCGTCCCTCCAGGCCTTCAGGAACCTTACTACATTCGGCCATTTGCATTGTGTCGATGGGCGCGTTCCTTGCGCTCTATCGCCTCGACTTGTGGATATGTCTTTCCGGATGCTTGCAGCGGCAAGTGAGACCGGACTGATTGGAGAACTTGCGTGTTCAATTCAATTACGTGGGGGAAACTGCCCCGGTCTCTCTCTGAATGACCATGCGCGATGTCCATCCAATGGATTTCCAAATCAGGTCAGTGGAACCTGCTGTGGGTTTTGTCTCAAAAAAGTTTTTCTTTCTATGAAAATCCCGCTTGAAATGTGTGTGTGATCATCAATACGGTTGGGTCTTGTAAGGGCATAAAAAGCAAAGCTTTCCCTCTTTCCTCGTCTTTTTTCTTCTACATCATCATTTCAACAGACTTTTCCACTATATTCCGTCCATCGAAATACACTTCTCTATCATGAACAGCGAAACCAATATCGAAAGCAAAGTCGGCCGCCCCGCCGCCAGTGAGTTGTCCTTCCCAATGTATTTGCACTCTTCCTCAGCATTAGTAGTTGAACAATGGTTTTGACCAAGCTGCTACTATTATTTTTTTACCCCGCAGACAAGGTCGGAGGTATGCGTGTCCCAGCGCCAGATCATCCCGTCCCTGTTGTGCGCAAGTAAGTCCGCCCATCTATTCTGTTCATTAGGTTCTCTTTTTTTTTTTTTTTTTTTTTTTAATATCTCTTTTCCCTGCGCGCCAAAGACCATTATGCTGACGATCTCCCGTGTTTCGTCCTGTATGAATTGCAACAATAGGGTCCATGAGAAAAAGGACGATGAGGATTCGGGCGTTTTGAACGCAGATCAGCAAGAACTCGAGAAGCTGGAGCGCTTCGAGTACGAGAAGCAGACTCGCAAGGCTGCCGGCGAACGCCTGGCCAGGATGTACGAGCGACAGCCTAAGCACGAGATCACCAATAACTTCAGACAGAACCAAAACATTTATGTCGATCAGCCCGTTCTTCACAATCACGAGAAGTCTGGCGGTGCTGTCCAGCAGTAAACGGCCTGGGACACCTGCTTAAGAAATTGCTCATTTGTTTTGAACAGATGAAGCGGCTCCGTGTATAAGCATCGCAATCTGTATATAATAAAAACTGTTTCTTTCACATACCAGATGCAGCTGCAAAATGCAACACAAAAAAAAAGCCAAAAAAAAAAAGAGTTGTTTTCATACAGGATTTGATCTGACGCGACAAGCGTTTGTGATTATGTTTGGTACACGAAAGAAAAAGAAGACAACAGTGGCAATAGGGCAAACAACAAAAAGACAAGAGGGAGAAAGAGAGAGAACGACTCTAGAAAATCAAGTACATGTGCTGCTTGTTGAGAAGATATAGATGACAACTCGGTACACAACAAAGACCTCCTCCGTGCCTCGTCTTACAGCTTCCCCTCTGGGAACAAAACCTTCTGGACTGCCTCGATGACCTTGCCATGGATCTTTGCGTGGGATGCGATCACTCCAGAGTTGGTCGCCAGTGTCCTGCCCTTTGAAAAATCCAATGGCTTTCCATGTATATCCGAGACTATGCCTCCCGCCTCAGCGACCAGCAGACTACCCGAAGCATGGTCCCAGATCTTTTCCTCGTACGAAGCGCTGACAGGCAGCCTCAAATATATCTCCGCATCGCCTCGTGAGAGGGAGCAGTATTTACATTGACTGTCCATGCGCACCGGCGGCCTCGTGATGCCCAACAGCTGTGCGATCTTTGCAGAGTCGCTCTGGTTGGAATGTCCACTTTCGACGCTTTCACAAAAGCTGGCATCGGCCAGGCTTTGGATGTCGCACATTGAAATTGGAATCTCTGTTGATGACGAAAAGTTGCGCTGATGGAGTATGGCAAGGGCATAGATAAGTCATACAAGCAAAGGCGGTTAGTGCTTGATGACACTTAGCGCAACACCCGCACCTGCAACATACGATACAAAGCTAAAATAAAAATAAAAATAAAATAGTGTACCTGGAAGGCACCCTGTCCCTTGACGGTGATAAAAAGGCATCCTTTCTCGCCATCCTGGTCCTTGGCATCAACGGGAAGATTGGGACAGCCCATCACTCCGAGTTCAACTTGACCGTCGACAATCAAGGCCAGGCAGACCGCAAACTGCTCGCCTCGCAAGAATCCCTTTGTGCCATCGATCGGATCTAATGCCCACATACGGCCAGAGGCGCCTCCTGCATATGTACCGCGATCTATTGTCTCCAGGAGCTGTGCAGAAGGAAAGGGTTAATCTTTTTGTTACTGCTGTGCAAACTAACCATGAACATGCCTCATAAAGCGTCCCAATACGTTTCACGCTGTTCTGCTGAGTGAATGTATCTCATCATCGCTGAAGGAAATGGTGACAAATTGTGGATCCACTTAATTTTCAATCTCAATTTTGGTTGCGAATCTACAATCCATGCTCTCGACACTCGACTTCACATGCACTCTCTGAACAAATGCATGTCCTCATACTTCCTCGAAATATACCTCAGACTGGCATAATGTACCAATCAAAGATACCATTCATACGACTTACCGATTGCTCTGTCAAGAGCGTATCTAGCCCGGAATTGGCGAGCTCCAGCACCTTTTCCCGCATGGGCCGACCCTCTTCACCCCTCAAATCCTTCGAGTCCTCCTCTCCGACAATGGGGTCCTCTGGGAAGGACTTGTGAAGGAACGTGTTGACGACTGCCTGCGCACTAAAATCTGCGACTGAGGAACAATTTGCAATTGAAGAGGGACAAATAGAAAAATTAGGTCACAAATATAATGAGGAAATAAGGGAAAAAGAGATCAAAGTTGTGTGACCGAAGGAATAGAACAAAGCCGATCGGCACACTTACCAGTAACAGGCGACTTGTCCTTCTTAGTGATCGTCTCGCCGTTGACGAGCTTTGTAAAGACCCGCTGACAGACCTTGCTTGCAGCCAAGACCGCGTGAATGGCAACAGCTCGCTCCGCGGCATATGCGAGTGCTATGTTTGCCACAAAACTCTCAGGTCAGCTTTTTGTTTGATCTGCATCAAAGTGGTCCGGACGAGTCATTGCTCGGCCGATCAACAATGCCATAGATCGCTCGGATCGATCGTTGCTGTCACAATCATGATCTTCAGATATACAGCAAGCAAATCCAATTATCCCGATGCGTGTTTCAAAATCCCTTAACCAAGCAGCTGCCTCATAGTCAAAACGACGTCTGCGGTAGGCCATTCCTGGATGAACATAAGATATCCTTGAGGCCTTACCAGACATGGTGAGGGAGAGGGAGGTTTTGGTGGAGGGGAGGGAGGTTTTGGTGGGGGGGAGGGATGCAGGAGGAGGATGGGATCGGAGTGGCGGATGAGATGCGGAGAGGTGATGGAGAAAGAGAGAGAAAGGAAGAGAGAAGTGAGAAGAACCTTGTGGGCTGGTAGGCCTAGGCGTGAGTGTGTTGTGTGGGTTGAGTCCGTTTGTACTCTGTGCTTTGTTGTTTGCCGCCAATGCCGCACGCATTCCTTCCCTGTCTTGGACAAAAAAGATTAAAAGTCACGCTATGGCGTTATCGCGCGCCATGCGATTCGGCCCTCGCCCCTGCATCAAAAAACAGCAAAACTCTGTTCCGTCGTTCTATGAGATCCTCCAGGCGCAGTAGTCCATGGACAAGAAAGCACGAACGAGAATAAAGAACCAAGATCTTGTTCAGCTCATGTCATATCTGCGCATCCTCAATGCCTCCTCTCTTCATTATTACTAATCATTCGCGCGTATGATCCACAACATATCAACATCATCTCGCAGCTTTATTTGCATCTTCTTAGCGATCCCAGCGTTTTCTTCGATCTGAAGAATCATTCTGACCATGAGGGTTCACAGGTCTCGCATCAGCTTGATGGTTATGTGGAGGGTAAGGTGGTGGTGGACGGTACATATGTGGCGGTAATGGCAGTGCTGGATGCTGTGGATGCGCTTGACTGTTATACACACCAGGGGGCGGAGGCGGGAACGGATACCCTGGCGGAGGAGGCTGACCCTGGTATGGGAGCCCTGGAGGAGGCCCTGGCCTTGGTGGTGGTGGTCGATGTGCATGATGCTGGGATGGAGGTCGATTTTGAGGCGGATATCCATAACCAGGCGATTGAGCGGGAGGCGGCGGTCGTTGGTGGGCGTGTGTATGTTGTGGAGAATATTGAGGAGCTGGAGGGTAGGACCCAGGATGGGGTAGTGGTGGGCGCTGCGAAGGTGCTGCTTGATACGGCTGTCCTTGATGTGTAGGCACTGGCGGCCCACCAGTGCTCGCCGGGGCAGCCTGAGGCGGTTTATTTCTTGGCGTCGCATCGGAGGAGGATGGCGACTCGTATGCTCCTGTCTCAGGTCGCGATGCCTTCTGAAATCCAGATATATGGTAGCCAAACCCTGATCCAGGTCCTGATCCAGATCCAGATCCATATCCCCGCGAGCCATCACCAGACCCAAAGTTTCTGCCTTCTCCTCCCTGACCTCCCCGAAAATTTTGCTGGCGTCGGTCGCCTTGTCCTACAGCTATACTATTTGAGGAAGACGAATAAGTATGGTCCTGTAAGTGATCAGAGGAGTGGAACCGCCCGCCAGATCCACCACGTCCACCGCGTCCACCTCTCCCCCCACGCCCTCTTCCACCACGGTCTCCTCCTCCACCTCGATGACCACCCATGAACTGTCTGGATTTTCTGAACCGCGGATTCTGCATAGCGATCTTCAGCACATCTGGGGAAACAGCCTGGCCAAACTGTTCTAGATTCCGAACTAGGTCCCCAGCAAAACGGTCGTCCTTTTCCGTGATCAGCGTGTATGCAGTTCCCTTTTCGCCCGCACGTCCAGTTCTGCCGACGCGATGAACATGAGAGTCGATGTCTCGCGCAACATCATAGTTGACGACCGTGCGGATGGACTTGATATCCAAACCTCGTGCTGCAACATCCGTTGCGACCAAAGTTGGAAACTGTTTGACTTTGTAATCGTGGACCGCCTTATCACGTTCCTGCTGTAGCATATCTCCATGAAGACACTCGCCTGGGCGTAATCGCGTAATCGTTAGATTGGTAAGCAAAATTTGAATAGATATAAACTAACAAGGAACGAGGTGTACGCAGTATCATTTTAAAACCTACATTTGACGCCGGCTTTCTTAAGATTCTCTGTGAGTTCGACAACACCATTCTTTCTAGAGACGAATATGAGAACGCTTCCAACTAGAAAAACAAAGACAGTAGTATGTTAGATGGTCCGTTACCTTCTACTACATAGCTTGAAGGACATCAAACAAGTGTGTGTGCAAACTTACGTGCTTCGAATTCATGAAGTCGCTCCATAAGCCAGTTCCACTTGAGCGAGTCGTCCTTCAAGGTCTGGATTACTTGAGTGACATCTGAGTTGATCTGCAGTGTTGAAAATAAAGGTGGACAAGCGATGAGCAAGGCAAAAGCGTCGTTCCGAGGGCCATCCGTGCTCGCGTTCCTGTCGCGGCCGTTCGCATACTTGTCCAACATTGCCAATCGATATCCGCACTGGATCAGTCATCACTTCTCTAGCAAGTTTCTCGACACGCTTTTGGAATGTGGCACTAAACAACAGGGCTAAAAGATAAGAAAAATACATCAAACAGTTTTTCAGTCTGAGGCAATTGCAACTCGGATATGTACACATCCTTGTAATATGTTGCATCCCTCGGCAAGGCACTCACTTTGACGATCTGGTCGGATGTTATCACAGATCGACCGAACTTGTGGCTCTGTACACCATGAGGCAGTTGAAAATGCTGTTAGTGAATGTCGCATATCCATATTTGTCCATATTCGCGCCAATCGTGCCGTCCGTCATTCTAGAAAGAAACTTACCAAATCCAAGATCGAACACACGGTCAGCTTCATCCAGCACCAGAAAGGACGTGCGCCTGAAATTCGTCGCCTTGATCTTGATCATATCAATCAATCGTCCAGGCGTCGCAACCAGGATCTCGACACCAGACCGAAGTGTCTTGAGCTGATCATGCTTGTTCGCGCCTCCGTACACAACTGCAACGCGCAGGCCATAGGCCCTCGCGAAGCGTTTTGCCTCGCTGTAAATTTGATCCGCCAACTCACGCGTGGGTGCAAGAACAACTCCGATCGGGCCGTCGCCCTTGTCCAGTTCCTGCTGATCCATAATGTGAGTGATCATCGGCAGCAAGAACGCTGCAGTCTTTCCAGAGCCCGTTTTTGCGATACCAATGATGTCGCGTCCAGAAAGTGCAACAGGTATGGCTTGTCTTTGAATGCCGCTGGGCTCTGTATATCCAGCACGTCGGATCGTCTCTATCAATGCCTCCTCAAAACCAAAATGTGCAAATGATATGCATGGCCTGGCGACATCCGCTCCTGAAACCCTCATATCTGTGTATAGGCAACGATGTTTCAATGGTTAGGCACTTCGCTTTGCGGTATGACACATATCTTCCAGTACAGGGACGTCTTATATACCGAGATCCATTCTGATCTGCCTGACTTGTTCCTCGGATAGTTTGGCGATGTCTTCATGCTCCTCATAAAAGCACTTTTCAATCTCAATGTAATTCTGTCTAGAGTGATCCATTCTTGGCAAGGGCGTGATCTCCTTTTTGCCTTGAGTTTCATACGCCATGTCGTCTGCATCAAACCTATGATGCAGTAAATGCGATTTAGTTGAAGTGGGACGCGGGATATGATTTCTCTAAGGCCATGTATACCGTTCCATAAACGTACTGTGTTTCAGATGCACCATCAACTGCTCTTGCGGTCGCATACACTTCTTCGTCAGAGTCAGCATCCTAGATTGAATGTAATGTCCAGAATCCATCTTAGTATCACTTGATCCATGGATCTGATTACAGAGCGACTATTGTAGGCAGCTCAGAAGGTTCCTCTGCCTTACCTCATCACGCTCCCTCACAGGTCCGCCTTGTCCGATTGTTATTCCTTTTTTCTTCATGTGCTTCATGTAGCTCTCGACATAATCCTCGTCCTCAATATCGTCGCGTCGGACCTATAGTTATGTAGACGTTGTAAGTAACATAGACTAGAAAGCAGCAGCAATTTATCCATAATTACAATGCGCACCTTCTCTACTGATGGCTTCTCTGCTTCTTGCTGAACCTGAGTGTCGATTTTAGCCATAAAGGCATCCAGTGGATCATCTTCATCTTCATCTGCTCCCTCGATATCTCCCTGCAATATGTCTTCTGACGGCACTATAAAAGAGAGAGAGAAGAATGAGATCAACAAAGACACATGACGCTGAGAGGGACCATAGTTGTTGTTCGCTCTTGAGCCCATTGGACAAACGGGGAGATACCTTTCTTAGGATCGAGCCGCGAGAAGGCATCGTCATCGTCATAATCATCGTCTTTGCGGACGGATTTCTGGAGTGGCGGCGGCGGTGGTGGTGGTGGCAGCGGGTCGCTTTTAGAAGCCAGCTTCGAGAATGAATCGTCCTCCTCCTCTTCTTCCTGATGACGCATCATTTGTTCATCATCATTCTTCAGATTATGATCCAACTTGATCAGCTTCCGCTTAGGAGGTCCTGAATCCTCGTCCCTATCGTCGTCGTCGTCGTCGTGGAATCCGAGGGCTGCTTTGTTTGATGGTGCGCGAGTGCTGCGTCCGAATGGATTAGGCTTTGAGCCCAGGCCGGATGCGCTACCAAGACTGATGTTGATGGATCGCTTTCCACTGCTCATGGTGATGCATTCGACGGTGTGTTGGAGAGATGAGGAAATGTGAAAATATGCGGAGACCCTAAACTAGTGTTGACGAGGGTCGAGTATCACAAAACAGTCACCGGTACGCGACCACGTTATAGGGCTCCAGCGCGCCGGAGACCGGATACTATCCTGGTTTCCAATGGTGTCCAGGGTCCCCGCTGGAAAATAATGCCAGTGCGGCCTCAAAGGTACGATACTCCGAGAGTGCTTCTTGAGCAATGTCTCGTAGCGTCGTTTTGCCTTTGCCCTCTGGCAATATCGAAAAAATAGGGCGGAGCACTGCCTGAGTCGCGCTATTAAGGGTTGAAGACCATGGTGTCGCCAAATGAAAAGCTGCTCCTCCACTCCACCGCCTTGACTGGTCAACACCTCTTTTTCGTCCTGGGTACTTGCTGCCCACGTCCACATCACCGCAGACCAAGCCAGGCGGCAGCTCTCATTCAATAGCATACCGACCATGATGCAACAGTCATTCGATGCGGAAGACAGGGCTCAGAAGCGCGTCGACTTGGGACCAATGAACTATGATCGGATCCTGTCTCTGGGCTTCCCATTCCAGCCCACCAAACGCGTCAATGTCAACGAGGATGGTGTAGATCTATGGCAAGAGGTAGAGATGACGTGCATCCGAAACGGCACACCGGTCGTCCTCGAGGGCTGGCACCGACATCCAGATTGGAACCAGAAGCTCTTTACATTTCCTTACATCGAAGCCCACTACGGCGACAATGGTACCGAGATTCTTTATGACAGCGACTTTATGCTCAATATTGATTCTTAATTCAGGAGGCCTTGGATACCTACCCAACGCTTTGTATCAATGTTGACTATGCATAGAGATCGTATGTCGCAATCTTCGTGACTTAGAGGACATCAGGATGTTGATGAGGGATTATATCCAGGAGGTGCACGCTGACAGTCTACATCCAACTCTCATGTCATCAAAGTCTCAGCGTCGAGCTGGAACTGATGATATGCCACCGACACCAGCCTCAGATTACACTTTGTCACCTGCAGCGGCGATAGAGGATGTTATGACCACACAATTTGATGGGGATATTCCTATAGCAACAGCCGGCGAGAAGGCCTCCATAACAGCAAGCCGCACCAGTAAGTCACCGTCTTCAGCAGCATCCAAACCCTCAATGAGCACGATAGAAGGAAACACATCAATGACTATAGCTCTGTATGAGTTTACATCATCCTATAAAGGTGTTAGTACTGGATCAGCTGACAAGGAGGTCGGAGAGACTGCGACTGGGCCTGCACATGGAAGGGGTCCAAGGAGGGCTGGAAAAGCTGCGCGGAGGAATAGCCGCCTTCTGTACGCAAAGGACGTTACGTGCCCGGACGACTGGCGGAGGTATCTGATGAATGACCTGCTGCCGCCGTTTCTCGGATATATGCGTGAGAATGATCTGAGTATGTCTAGATAGCAAATTGGTTTCATGTATGGCCTTAATTCTATGGGAAATAGCTGACCCTGACTCTATATCTTCATGTCTTCTATCGTTATGTTCTCAGATACCTTGAACACAAAGCTTGCAGCCGAGAATTTGATGATCTATATCGGGCAAGCCGGAACTTGGTATGCTGCTTTGAACATCACCTTGTATCGCATCATGTTTAGCGAAAATGCAAATATTAATAATCGCTCCTTTATCTTGCTAGGACGCCTGCGCATATAGATCAGTGCGGGGCCATTGGACACAACATTATGGCCTGGGCAGATGATGGTACGGCTTCAGGCGGCATTTCTCTCGCATCATCTATGGGAGAGAATGGGCGCGATTATATATGTCTAACTGCCGTCTGCTGTTGTGTTGTTGTGCCATAGATTCTTCGTCGATTTGGTTTATGATCAAGGCTGAAGACAAGGATAAGGCTGAGGCGTTATGGAGGTCATTCGGACACCCGCTGGAGTTCGAAGGATACTTTGCCGCTGTCGAGGAGATGCAGAAGGCCGACTTTCCGATCTACGTTGTGGAACAGAAGATCGGAGACTTTGTCATGGTCCCTTCATTATCCTACCACCAGGTCGTCAACCTGGTAAGTCCTCTTGATCCGACTACACTCAACTACTTTGGCATGCAATTTAACCAGTCGTATTTATGTTCTCAATAATTCCGTCCGCAGGGCAAGGCAACGATCAAAGTATCATGGAACAGGCTTACAGCCCACTGCCTCAAGGCCGCCGTTAATGTTGTCCTCCCTCGATATAGGGCGTATGTCTCTCAAGGCATGGATCTGGGAAGGACATGTGTGATTTACGGAATACAGTACTGACCGATATATGTTTCGCTATCTCTGTTGTAGAATCGCTCGCCCTGAAGGCTATCGCATTAACATGATCATCAAGAGCGCGCTGGAGGCATGGAAAAACCTGCTCGGTAGTCAGTCGGGGAATCTTCCACTTCCAAGGGAACATTTTTGCCAATCCTACCGCGACATCTTAATGCTTTTTCGAACGATTGTCGAGGAAGAATGGGTGGACATGGATATCTTGAGAGACAAAGATCGAGTATTCGACCGACCACGGAGGCTCAAGAGCGTTATGCCAGCAGTGTGTGATTTTTGCAGTTCGGATGTATGGAATCGCCAGTTCCGTTGTCACAAGTGCCACCACTACGGTGATGACTATGATGTATGTGCTCGTTGCTTTAGTCTGGGTCGTGGTTGTAAGCACCGGGCAACATCGATAGAGTTTGTCGAGACGTTTTCCATGAGGTCGCTGAGGGAACTTTATTCGTCTGCAGTTCGCGCATGGAACGAGTCAAAGGTTCTTACTGGGTGTCAGGAGTATTCGCCAATTGTGGATGATTGGATCGACAGGTACGTTTATAGTACTAAGCTGTGGTTCTGAAGAACTACAGAAACTGCAAGGGATGGCATGATTAACTTGCAATCGTCCTTCTTTTTCTTTTCTCTTTTTTTTTTAACCGCACTAGTGTTGTCCCATCCAAGGACAAGGAATACTCTTTTTCATCTATCGCATACATGAGACGAGAAGACTTGAAGGCCGCTGCGAGGGTACGTGCACTGTATTTTACATCTCGTAACACCTTGCTAGACTATCTTTTCCCTATTTATCGGGATTCTAAAAACAGTATATTCATTCTTATCTATTATACTCTTAGATATGCGATAGATGCCATCGATGCAAAGCACGTAACCACTTCATTCTGAGATTAGCCTGCCCCAGCTGCAATGCAGTATTCTGTGAATCCTGTCTCTACGAGCACCATGGCACCCTATGGAGCGATGTGGTCTCGAAAAAGGAAATTGACTGGAAATGTCCACGATGTGTGGGGACTTGTCCTTGCTATTTTTGCATCAAGAAGGCTGCCGACACTGAGAACCGGCATCAGAACAATCTACCACGGACACCACCACTGCCAAAGAGGGAACCTGCGCTGCAGTTCACACGACCTGAGGACGATTCGCGCAATCGAGGAGGTGTTTGCGATAATAATATGGAAAAGTCGTTTGCAAGCGAGCAGAGTGACGAAGATAAAGAGCAGGAGAACCAGGATCGATGTGGGCACTGGTCCGACGATGTACAGGATCAGCAGGCTACAGACACGAGTCGTCAGAGTATTCGAAAATCTATTGAGGCGCAACTTGGACCTTCATCAACATCATCATCTTTGTCTTCGTCGTCGTCTTTGTCGCCGATATCTCCTCCTGGCAACGTGAAAAAGAAGAGGAAGATGAATCCAGGTGTCGATTCCTCCGAATTATATCAGTCCTCTAATATTCCTGCAAAGCAGATGAAAGCGCGGTCCATGGCGGTTACCACCAGCTCAGCACCGTCAGCTCTTAGTCAAAATCCAGTCCGTGGCCGAAGCGGTAGTCCTGGCGTAGATCGAAGTATCTCATCTGCCAAGATTCCCATGACGGCGGAGCAGTTCATGGAGGTGATGGGAAGCTTGGAGGAAAAGGCACTTCGATATGCTCACACCAATGGCTTGTGGCGGACCCTGGCAGCGTTCAAGGCCGAGCAAGAACAGACTGAGCAAGCCTACTATACTGAGGTGTTCCAGATGGATGCGTTCTGGTCTCAGCGCAGCAAAAGCACTCGCGACGGCTATCGAAGAGATATCCTGGAGAAGCATAGGACCAAGACCAAACCTTAGAAACCCTAGTTCGGACTCTTGCATCTTGCATCCTCTCCATACACACATCGAATCTGGCTTTTAAAAAGCGCACAATAGCTTAAAACTCTTCAATCGCATTTCGCCTATTGCCTCATTGGTCTTTGTAATTATATACCAAGTATTTCTTAATCGGATATAAGACGCCCACTCAATCACGTCTATTTATTTATTTTTTTACAGGAAGGGCTCAAGATCGAACTCGAGAGCAGAGGTTGGGAAGTTGATTCCAAACTTCTCAAGCACTTCGGGGTGGAGGATACCGAACGATCCGATGACCTTGGTCTCGCCCTTCTGACGAAGGTAGATGTCTGCGCATCGTGATGGGAAATACGTCGGATTTTCAGAGTCCTGGATCCAGTATCCCGAAGCGGTGCCGTTCTTATCGACAGGCTGTGCATGCAGCATCTGAAGGGTACGATCGAGCAACCCATGAATCTGCTCCAGTCCACTCGTCTTGTTGGAGTACGTCGCGCACACCTTGCGGATATTGCGGGAACGACGCTCCATGGAATCATCCTTCACGGCCGTATCGCCGACCTCGAAGACCTTGATGGGCAACGAATGCTTCTTGTTCTCCTTCAGGGTCTTCAGCACACCGGGGAGGAGCGAAGTACGCACCACCTGGTATTCGATGGTCTTTGGATGCGCGAGGCGGACAGCAATGTTACCAGGATCCTTCTGACGCAAGAACGTAAAGTTCTCATCGTGTGAGCACTATAATTTCAGGAAGAATAAATAGGTTAATGCCTAAATAATAAAAGTTCAGTAAAGTGCCGGATAACCGTTTCTAATATCAAAGATCTTACCAAGGTCAATGGGCTGACCTCGCTCCATCCGGCAAGAGCCAACTCCAAACGGGCAACATCCGCGAGCTTGTTGAGAGGGTAAGGCTTTCCAATCGTGCTGACCGAGGGTGCGGTATGGGGCAAGTTGTTGAAGCCGTACGCAATAGCAACGTCCTCCATGATATCGCACTGGTGAAGAACGTCCGAACGAGTCACAGGCACCTGAACAGTAACCTCGTTCTTGTCCCCCTTGCTAGGCTCAGCCTCCAGCGACATCTTATTCAACAGGCCGCAGATCTCATCAGGGCTCAGCTTCAGTCCTGTGCAGCTGTTGATGTAGTCAACCTTGGCCGTTGCAGTGCGCGAAGAAAGATCAGGAGTCACTCCTGCGGGCTGACGGTTATCCTCGTACACGACCTCGACCTGCTCGACACTAAGTAAGAAAGTATGATAGAGGGGCGAATGGAGTGAGTCATAATGCATACACGCCTATGAATCCTGATCGCAACCAGAAAACGACGAATATAGCTTACGTGAAGGGCTCGGCGCAGTACTCTGAGAACATGGCCACCATGGTATTGAGAACAATCTTGCCCTTTGTCAAATCCGTAGCTGTGCACTCAATGAAGACGTTCTTGGTGTCCAGTGTGATCTTGGAGTGGTTGCTGTTGATGATGGGGGGCAGCGAAAGAACTTGACGATTGGAGTCGTAGATGATGGGGTAAACAGGAGAATCGCGGATGATAGGCAGGAACTTTCCAAGATGCTTGTCCGACTCGTAGAAGGTCATCAGCTCCTCCGCGTTCATGTTCTTCTCCTGGTTCAAGGGCACAAATTGAATATCCCTGGGAGCCAGGGCCTCGTAAGTAAAAGGCCCCTTGATTGCGTCCAAATCATGCGTTCCAATGGCGACCAGCGTGCGCTTCCTGCAAATGTTCATGTGCAGCTTGTCCTGCAGATCAATGAAGTTTTTGTAGTTGAGCTCCGTGAACTTAACATTCCTGAGAACAGCGCAAACAACGAAGGGTCTGATGGCTGCGGTCTAAATGGTTGCATTTCGTAAAATAAAGTGACAGTGGTTAGTCTGGAAGATTGGAGGACCGATCAAATATGTCAAAAGGCGAGCCCTGAATAATGGAGAGCGAACCCACCTCGGGCTTGACAATCATCTTCTGAAGAGGCTGGCCGTTAGGGGGAGGGACAATCTTGTAGACTGGAGGCTTGGCCATGCCCTGGAAGACCAAAAGGGATCGAGAGATGCCCTCATGGCAAAGAAGATCATAACTACAATGAGATACACAGTCCCAGAAGCAAAGGACGAGTTCAAAGATGGTCAGCGTTTCTGACCCTGGCGAGTCTGATAGAATGTTGTCCACGCGCGGGAATAGTATGTAGATTCGGCTGCGTATGTTACCGATTGGCAGGAATGTCGATCTTCAAGATAGGCCTGTCTGACACGCTATCATCGACCTTGTGGGCTCCGACCTCCTTGATAGCCATCTCCTTTGGAGATGTCTATTTGGCGGCAATCGTATATACCATTAGTATCATGCCAAGGTCCTGATATGTTGAAAATGAGTTATCAACCGAGTACAAATTCGAGTGGTAACCTACATCCTCCTCGAGTTCGATGCCAAAGTTGAAACAGAGGTCCATGAACTCATCGAAGGCTATATCAGTTCATCCAGAAAGCACAAATAAAGATGAGTTGACTCGAGTAATGGTACTTTGACAGCAAGAAACTGGCTACTTTCGAAAAAGCACATTCAGGAGAAGAAATGCTGTTGCGTACTGTAGTCTCTTCCGAGTGCGGAGTAGAGTTCCTCCTTGTCGACGTTAACGGTGGGCATGATGAATGATGCGAGCTATGCGGTGAAGAGAAGAGGGCAACAGGCGGGCGTTCTGTTTATTTCTGTTGCAAGGACTGCTCATTGGTGAATCACTCATTTTTCCCTGGCGCAAGATTAAGGGGCCCGTAGAGCAGACTCATCCTACATACATTTCTCCAACGCAGAGACACACGTCCCAGTACAGCTCCTCCAACTCGGCAAAGAAGCCGTTCTTTGTCACTGAATCATTCCCCGCAGTGGCCCAGCTCTTCTTTGCTTCTTGGATTGACCGAACAAGCTTGCGCTTGTGAGTCCTCCAGGAAATTGGAATAGCGGACAGGGACAAAAGACACCAACGTCGCGGTGTGGAGCGAGGAAGCAGTCCATTGCTTGCAAAAAGATGGGTAACGTGGCCGAACGAGGCAGTGCTTTGCAACTGCAACGGCTTCGTTTCGAGACATCGGCTGGTTGTGTGGAGAACTGAGAACCCCGTCATATGGAAATACGTTTTCAAGGCTCACATCTATCGCGGCCCTGTCACTCATGAACAGACGACATTTACAGATGGTGCAAGTAACATTGTCCTATCGCTAACGCAGCAACGAGAGGCACCAGTGATTTTTTTTAATTCACAAGAGTTTTGTCCGCAGCCGTCTATGGGCTATCTGAAAATCCATGGATGCGGACATAACAGCTTAACAATAAGAAAATGACAAAAAGAATGGTGGATTAATGCAAAGGAAATAATAACAAAATGACCAAGTGAGTGGAACTAAACGAGCATTTCTAGCCATCTCCTTCCTCCTCGTGTTCCCTCCCTCGCGGATTTTAATAGACGTCGAGTTTGATACGTTTGCTAGCCTGATCATCAAGACTGGCAGAGACCTCGTGAAGACGCGAGTCCTTCTCTACAATCAGCCCCCGCAACCATTTGACCTCCATCTCCAACTCTTTGACGCGGGCCTCCAATGTCTCGGCACGCAGGGTCTGCTCCTTAGCAGTCTGCTCCAGGGCCTGCTCCCTTAGCTTCTTCTTGTAGCGGAAACGTGCCGACGCTGCCGTGTTGCGACGTCTCTTATCCTCTTCCGCAGCGACCTTCTGCAGATACTCGGGATCATCCTTCGAAAACGAATCAGCAGCCGATTTCTCGTACTCCTTATTATTCTCGGCGTCATTGTCCTTGTCTTCTGATAACAAGGTAGGAACGGTGAGGGATGCGCTCTTGGCCGCAGTGGCGGCGGCGGTGCTGGCGGCGGTAGCAGCGGCAGCAATGGCACTGGCATTGGCTGTGGTAGGGCTCTTAGGGGCGAGGGCAACCAAGGTGGCAGCAGGGGCAATGGCAGCCGAGGGCTGAAGGGCCTTTTGCTGCTTCTTGGTCAGGGGTGTGGCCGCCTTGAACTGAGGCATTGGCTGGCGCAAAAGCTTTGCAGCTGCGGGCGTAGTGGGCGCCGTGGCAGGGGCAATGTTGGGCAGGAGCAGAGGAAGACCAGACAAACGCTGGGGTTGCTGCTGCTGCTGCTGAACAGATTGCGGTTGCTGAAGCTGCTGTTGCTGTTGCACCTGAGCCGAAGCCGAGTAGGCGGCCAATAGGGAATGGAAAGCATTGATGGCAGCGGCTTGCTCCTGGAGCTCTGGCAGGCTCGTGGCCTTTTCAGTGCTGAGAGGATTACGCTGGCGAGTGCGCTCCAAGAGGGACAGTGGGCGAGACTCTACAATTGGGTCAATGGTAATGTAGCAAACAACATCAGGAATGAGCATTGGTCTTTCAGTGGCATTGTGAAGATACAGCAAGTGGGTGCATAGCTTGGAAAGCAGGGAGTGAATGTGAGTGTGCGAGGCCTGTTGAACAGAAATGGCCCCTTATTAATCCAGGACTGGACTAGGGCAGGTGGAATTATATCATAGCGGATATGCAACTAGAAGAGACGAGGCATTACCTTCCTGAGGCAGGTTCAAGTACTCCATCAAGTGCTGCTGATCCAAGGCAGATTGAGGATTGTGTCCAACCTGCTTGTTCGTAGTTGGCTTGGACGCCTCAACTGCAGGAGCGACAGGGGAGGCAACTGTGGAGGCAGGAACAGTAGTCAATCCCTGGGTTGAGGGATGATTTAAGGACGAGAGAGCATCAAATCCTGAGTCCTGCTCAAAGATACCAAGACCCGGAGGCATGTCGAAAGTAAACTCGGCGTTGGTCCAGAGCGAGAGCTCGGCCGAGTAGTCCTCGGGCGAGGACATGACGGGCGACTCGGACGAGTTGAGGTTGGCGATAAGAGACAAGTAAGGATTCTCAGTCATGATTGCGAAGTGTGAAAAAGAGAGATGATGAGGATCAGGATGATCGGGAGACGTGGGATGAGTGGAGTGAAGGGGAAGGGCCTCTCTTTTTTTGAGTCGACAGAGGCGACTTTGGAGAACGGGATCAGGTAGACACACCCAGTGGGATGAGATGCAATGGCGGATCTTTTGTCTTTGAAGGAAAGAGAAAAAAGAATGAGGAAGGAAAAAAAAAAAAGAAAAAAACAGGGAAATCTTTTAAAAGGCGGTGACTCGATAGTGAAAAGTCGGGGTCATCAGTCAAATATATCCACTTGACTGAGGTCTCTGGCTGTGCGTGATAAAGATCTTCGAACCACACGTCCGCACCCAAGGCTCGATCGCAATTTAAGCTGCCTGGGGTAGTCTAGTAGTAGGGTACCAATCCCCATGTAGATTCCTATAGTGCTGGATCCCTCAATACTGAGTGTGTAGGGGCCAGATTCAGCAGACAATTGCCAAGGCTAGGAACCTTTGGGATGATGGCGGATATGACCCTCGGACCAAATCACCCACTTTACTAGCCGCTAGCATATCATATGACAGCCGTTTTATGCGCAGCGAAGGAAGGATCTATGCCCGGTCGATATCGCATATCATGCAGAAGCAAGAAATGTCGTTGGTTAGTTGCTCCCCCCCTCCTTTCCCACCCTCAACAGCGAAAGGCATGGTGTGCAATGCTATTTTTTTTTTTTTTTTTCAAGACGACCGTCCCTAATCTATCCATCCCCACCGACGCGCTGTTTTTTGTGTTGACAGCCATGCGCACTTAAAGGGTTGAGGCAACAAATGACAAATCAATACAAGGTTTGGGTGCAATTTCTAATGCAAACGCCGGAGAGATAAAAATGCGCAGACAAAAACAGACGCATTCGAGTAAGTAGTCTACATGGTACAGGTTCAAGGCCTCTGCTGTCATCATCAACCGTCATCATCGTCAATCGAAGTAAGGTGATCCTCCTACACATGTTTGGGTCAATTACTTAAGTAACTGTTGTGTGTCCGTGTATAGTGTGCACGTGTAGCCTACATCCCCGCGCTCTTTCACTAAAAAGCTTGAGTTGATTGCCTATCCGTGACATTCCAGGGCCACAGGTCGCGGCTGTAGTGCGACTAGCGGCAAAGTAATTACTCGAATCAAGAAAGCACCGGTATTTCTCACAGTAAAGAAGCCATTTCTTCTGTATCAGCATGGGTACCAGAACTGCCGTAACTTGTAAGAAATAGATGTTAGCCTTGGACTTCACCGCCCATGTGGAATGAGTTGGCTTTGGAGAGGTCTCCTCCACTCTATAAACAATAGAATGACAAAGCATGAAGTATGATTTACTCGCCCTACAGGCGGCATTCAGGCAGCCAGCTGGTAGCCGGTTTGCGAAACCATTTCCTGAGGTGAAGTATAGTTTCCCAAGTTCGAACTTCGATATCTTTTCATTGCGAAAGGGTTGTCCAAGTTCAGCACGTACACGGAAGTAAAAATATGTACGCCGAGGGAAGGATATCTCATTTTCCTAATGTCGCCAACTCAACCGTTCCTCCCTCTTAAAAATATACCACTCCGCATACCCTCCAGTGACAATGACGGCGACAGCGATATCTTCGGCAACTACACTACTTATAACTGCAGCCACACCGACACTGACAGCGACGACGTTGACAGCGATGTCAGCCTGCCGAAGTGTAGAGATGAACAAAGCAAAAAGGCGAATACCAGTTCACGAGCGTATTTTTTTTTTTTTTTTTTTTTTTTTTGGCAGAAAGAGACAGAGAGAGATGTTATGTTGGTCATCGTTTGTTGCCACCAAAAAAAAAGAGGATATGAGGCAACGGTGTGGATGTCTAGAAGCTGGGCAACTTCACCCAAGTTCGATGCTAAAAAAAATTTGCGCGAAACCTTATTGAACTTCGGTTCGAGTTTCGCAAGCTGGCTAATGAAGTTCTGTAGAGTGGCGAATGGATTTCCTGCACTATCCATATGCTGCTGCTAAGAAGCCCAGGAGCATGATCGAGCGCAACCGATCATCCTCAACATCCCATTGGATAGATTTTTTTTAAATGTTATTCAGGGCACAGCTCAGACAGCACTCTCAGTTCACTTCATTCGATTCGACCCCTCCGCATGCCATCGACTAATCATCACACCTCCCTCTCACCCTCCTCTACCATTCCCTCCTCCCTCGACAACACGACCGCCCGCCACCCCAACCGACTGCGACAGCAGCAGCAACAACCCATTGCCTCACCTACTGCTGCCCGCCGTCGCCTTCCCACCATTCCCGCACCTCCCAAGGACAGCAGCACCTCTAGTTCTCCTGCCTTTGTTCTCCCTGGGAAACGAGGCAAGGCCACACGACTCGTCCTTGTCGCAGTTATCCTCTTCCCCCCAGTAGTTATCTTCCTTTTAGCCATGTTGCCATTCATTCTCCTTTTTACAGGTTCGTTCAATTGGCATAGGAATATGTATATCAAATAACATTCGATGGTAAGCTGACATGAATGAATCTTTGACCTGCAAAAAAAAAAAAAAAAAAAAATATATATAGTCGTTATTACGTACTCAATCGCCTGGCTCCTGTATTGGAGCAGGGCTGGGGCTGTCACTTTTTCAGCCATGCCTCTGGACCCAAGGAGGGTGTTGAAGATCAACAGGGTCGTCTTCTCAGTCATCTTTTCAAACTTTTCCCTGATACCCATCGGACTCTCTCTGGTCCGTTACCGTTACTGGACTATGCGTCGTTCCACCGACTATATGTAAGTGCCCTATTCTGGTCGTTTGAAAAGCAGTTGAGCGTCTATTTGCATAAGACTGACAATGCAGCGTTCATCATTGGGAATTAGTACCGACGTCCATTATAATCCAAAGCGACCCAGCAACAAATTGGATGTTTATATTCCTCGGGATCGTGTTCAGACCATGGACTCGAATTATTTTCGGGATAACTGCGACGAGAAGAAACTGCGACCGGTTGTTGTCTTCATTTATGGAGGAGCATGGTCTGCTGGCTCCAGGCTACTCTATACATTGGTGGGTATACGATTGCGATCCATGGGGTATCTGGTCATCCTGCCGGATTACTCGATATACCCACAAGGCACGATCAAAGGGATGGAGGAAGATGTCAAGATGTCGATCCAATGGGCTCATAACAACTGTCTGAACTTTGGAGGGGACCCCAAGAGGATTTATCTGATGGGACATTCTGCGGGAGCACATCTCTGTGCCATTACAGTTCTAAACAACTGCATCCAACAGATTCCTGCGTCGTTGTTTGGGTCGTCTCCGGATGCCATTTCGACCTCGCCTATTTTGACAACGCTCTTAAACGCACCTGTGGACCAGGAACAGGAGGATGCATTGCCTCGCCTCCGAGGGATAATTTTCTGCTCGGGCGTATTTGATATCGGGGAGCATTACAAGCACGAATCTATGCGGGGTGTGGAGGAGATCTCGGCTATGGGAAGAGTCATGGGCAATTCGGAGCCGACATTCCGGCTCAACTCACCCACGATAATCCTGCAGGAGCTAATCCAGGTCTCAACGAGGATTGATCGGCACTATCCCACAGAGTCACAGACGCGCCACCAGAACCTGCTCCGTCATTTAAGGTCGCTCTGGCCCATCGAGACGCTGATGATCCATGGCGACCGTGACCAGACGGTGCCTGCTCGATCTTCGTCCGAGTTCTTTATTGAGCTCAAGACACTGCAGTTGGGATCGAATGCCAGGCTGCGAGTCATGCATGGAATGGGCCACGAAGAGCCAGTCGTCGGTAAGCGTCGTGTCCCAAACTGAGACGTTTTTATTGCCAGGCGTTGGTTTGACTGACATTGTTGTTTTCATTGTTTTTGTGTCGCATGCTAGCGCTGATGCCGTGTTTTGGTCGCAAGGCACCGTTTAGACAGCCATTGATGGAGGAGATTTGTCAGTTTATCGATGGGCACAAGCCCATGCCAAAGACACGACGATGAGTGTTATAGAATAAACAGGTGGTGGAGATGGAAAATTGATTACTGGGAAGAAAATGAGGGGAAGGGGGGGGGAGGTGGTTTTCCCGTTCCGCTTGATGAGCATGCCAAATGTATGATAATGCTGCGTAAGGGACGAATGCCTGTGTGTCTCTAAGAATATAATCAGCCCAAAAGGCCCCTGTTTCTCTTTCATGGGTGCGCGTGTCCTTGGTTGTTTCTTCCTTATCGCGCACGCACACATACACACACATACACACATACAGACACTCTTTCCCTCGCCTCACGGCTTTTCTTTTGTCCCTTGCCACAGCGCACCTCCGCCGCCAACGGACACATCCATCCTCGATCAGCCTCTTTCTCTCTCTCTCCTCTTTTCACTTCTCTTTCCTCACTCCTCACTCCTCACTCCTCGCTCCCCACTCCGCTCTGTCTGCACCTGCCCTTACTTTATCTGCCCGAGAGATCCTCTGCTTCCACTGGAAAAGGAAGGAGGGAAAAGGAAAAAGGAAAAAGAAGCTCCACTCCATTCCACTACAATTATAAGAGCACAGCAAACCACGACCACAACACGACAACAAAGCAGCACACTGTACTACATCCACTACAACCACTGCTGCTGCTGCTAATTCCCCTCTGCCGTTTGCGCTGCAACCCAACGTCGACCCATCCTCGACCATCAAGAGAAACGAGCTTGACTTGACTTGGCTTGGCTGACCTGACATCTAAAATAAACAGGTTATTTATGGAACATCCCGCACGGAAGGTCTCTCCCTCATCCACGTCCTCTTCCCCAAAGCCTTCATCCTCTGAGACAATATCCCCCCCCTGGTCTCCTTCGTCTCCACCTCCTCCCCCGTCTTCGCCTCCTTCCTCCCCTTCCCCCTCCGCCTCTCGCCTCAGCAGCAGCAGAGGCGCCACCACCACCACCACCACCACCACCACCACGGCTGCAGCAACCCCACCAATGTCCTCCCTCAGCTCCCCTTCTTCTCCTCCCTCTTCTTCTCCCTCTTCTTCTCCTCCTGCCACAAGAACCGAGCATCCCTCTTCTTCTCCTCCTGCCACAAGAACCGAGCATCCCTCCCCTTCTCCTCCAGGCACCACCACCACAGCCGAGATGTCTTCAACAGAGCCCCAGCCGACAACAACAGCGGCCTCCAATCCTATCGAGACTACCACCACCGCCACCAGAACTATCACCGAGCCACCGACTACTGCCATCACTACGACCACTTCCACGGCCGAGCCCTCAGTAACACCCACCACAGAGAGAACGACGACGACAACATCCGAAGAGCATTCGACTGTGTCGATAGGCCCTGTCACAACGACGAAACTGACGACTCGACCGGAGACCAGCACCACCAAAGGGCCTACGATCACTCCATCCACGACACAGCAGAGCACGCAGGCGAGAGCGACGACAACGACACCGTACACAACCCAGTACGTGACCACGGTATCGATCGTCACCATCACAACGGTTGTGCCTCGGACAACGGTCATCTCTGGTCGGGGAACGACTATCTATATTACAGAGACAACCATGGCGGCAACGCCGACGGTGATCCCAGATCCGAATCAGCCACCTCCGCCAGGGACGCTCGTGGATCCCAACAATGGTGCAGGAAATGGCTTGAAGACTTGGCAGCTTACGTTGATTATAGTCGCGTGTCTGGTCGTCACTATAGCGGTCTCAGCGGCGTGTTTTATTGGGTCGGTCAAGAAACAGAGACGACATCGGGAGATGAAGCAACAGAGGGAGGGAAGCTCATTGTATGTCGGGGATGAGAGTATCATGGGGGGTAGTGAAGTGGCCGAGAGTGGTGGCGGCAAGTCCATTAGGACGTTGATCGGAAACGGAGGGTATGGACAGGGAGAAGGCCAGGGTCAGGGCCAGGGCCAGGGACGGTGGAGTTCGATGATGTTTAGGTTTAGAAGGCCGTGGGATGCATTGGGCGCTTATCATGGATCGGGCCATCATCCGTCTGCGGCTGCAGCGGTGACGGCGAGACCTGGGGGGTTATGGCTGATGGATGAGGACCATCATAACTCGGGTCATGGGCATCACGAAGCGATAGGGTATGACGGATCCGTGGCTGCGGCGGCGATGTATCCGGTATCATATCAGAACGATGCCTCTCGACTAAGAGAGGAAGGAATGTATGTGGCGACAGGCCAACCTACGATGGCGGAGATGCAGGACCAGTTCTTGAATCCGAATAGGGCAACAGTGGCTGCCTCTGCTGTTGCTGCCGCTGCTGCTGCTGCTATTGGCAATAATACCCGCCCGATCTCGCCTTCGCCTGCGACTCCTTCATCACACGCGTCACCCATGCCGACGAACCAGAACAGTGCAACCAGCACTGCTTCGTCGCCATGTCTGCTACAGCCTCTGCTTGAGGGACGTTTTTCGGAGAGCACGGACTATGCGGATGGACAGGGATATGGCTGGCAACAGCAGCGTCAGAGTCAGGAGCAGCAAACCAGTTCGCAAAGAGAGAGTCAAGATGGATCTATGATGTCGGGTGGTCAAACGCGTACCGATGCTAGCGGTGGTCTTGGACTGGGTCTTATTGGCGAAGGGGATGACAGAAGGACGATTGTCGTGAATCCAGATCAACTTGAAGCGAATGCGCTGTTTGAACATTTTCGTAAAGATCCACAGGCACTGCCGTTGACAGGTGCAACTGTGGAATCGCCGGCTTTGGTTCGGAAAGAGAGAGAGGGCGAGGATGAGGGCCAAGCGCGTGAAGCTACAGCTGCGGTTACAGTGGCATCAAACGATGATAATGACGTAGCAGGTAGTCAGCCAGCGGAGAAAGATCCGGCAGCGGCTCGTGTGGATGGCCTAGGCATCACGACCAACGCAAATCTCATCTCCAGAGAGACATCGCTGTCTGCGAAGAGCGTTAAGGGCAAAACCAATGCATCCTCTCTGTAGCCAAATAAATCAAATCCACTCTTCCCTAGTATTGATTCTTTCTTATTTTATTTACAATTAGAGTGGTCATCATGCGCGGACCTGATATCTGCCTGCTTTGGTCATGGTCCTGACACCCTTATATGGTTTATAGGACTCGTTAAAAAGCTTAAGCACATCAACCTTGAGTCCAGAGAGCGAATGTGAATTGATCACGAACTCGACCCCGATATTGTATCCTGCATTCGCAGCTGCTTCGCTACTAAACAACGAACAAAGAAAAGCGCGTGTCAGTAATCGTTGTTGACCATAATTAAGAGAACTAAAAATGCAACGAAAAGCAACAGATCTAATTGTTATACCTTGAAGTGCCAAATCCAAAAGATCCAGAGAGGACAGGAGCACGTTCGCGTGGAACGATCTTCCCGATATCCCAGCGGAGGACCTTTCCTACGGGATCAAACATGTATTGGCCGACATTGCAATGGGCCGTCAAGGTGGTCGTAGATTTGTGGAGGGGTAATGTCAAGACCACATTCTCAAGGGGTTTACCCTCGGTGTTCCGCAGACTGACAGTGATATCGAATTTTGCGCCGTTCGCTCCAATGTTGATTGAGGGCTTGACCTGCACAGGCAGGTTTTGTTGGCTAGGCAAGTTAACTCTATAATGGGGAGTGAAAAACAAAGTGCTCAAGGTTAAGTGCTGTACTTTTGTTGAGCTTTCTTTTACATTCGATATTGACTGTAATATATTCCTGAACGTGCTCGTACCGATAACTCATAAGACGAAAGTGCCCGTCTGGTGGGACAAAGGATAAGACCTTGTCCGATTCCCACTTGTTAAAACGTACTGAAGGGTGGAAACTGCAGTCATCCACCAACCGTGGGTTCACGAAACTGAGTGTCAGATCGGGCATACCTATTTCCAAAAAAAAAAAAGTTAAGTGCTGGCTATGTTCATACGAATACGAATACGTTTACGTATAAAGAAAGCGATTCTCGATCACATACCAGAAAGCCTAGAATTAGTCTGAATGGTACCGTGGGCCTCACACGAGACGGCTTTGCCTGTCGAATCCACAATGGCATCGATCTCTTCCACGATATCGAAAAAGATCTCGTTCCTCGTATATTTGACACCGGCCTTCCGCCAGGGCAGGTTGGACATGCCATGGGGCATTTTGCGGGTTGAGGCCGAGGTGGTGGCGCCCATAGTGGTGATAACCGTGTTGATGAGGTTGGGAGCAGGGACGATCTCCTTGAGAGCATTGGGTTCTGTTGTGAGCGGAAATCCGTCGTCCATCATCTCTTCCAGAAGCTGGTAGACCGTGACAAAGTTTTCCTTGATAACTGTTTCTGAGACCTGTCCAAAGTACTCTTGCATGATATCCGGGATACGATGCAGAAACTCAAAGACCATCATGGGATCGACTATGGTTTTTCAGTTGGGTTCCTCGTGGTTAGGATGCAGTCGTTTTTTGTCTTTTTCTTTTGCAGCTCAAAGTTGGGATACGTGGCAAAGGCGGAAGTCCTCTGGCCATACCTTCTTTTGTTATTGGGCTAAGATAGGTGAGGCCGTCGCGGTAGACGTTGATGAGCTGGTACTTTGGTGAAGAGATGATGGGCAGGACATCCTCCCGGGTGAGATCCTCGCCTGAAGCTATTGCTTTTGAGACCTGCTCATTGAAGTAGTCGACCACACGACGAGGGATTAGCTCGTGCCAGTGCTTTTCGATGATGACCTTTCTGTGAGAAAAGCCAAAAGTTGGGAAACAGTGAGAAAATGAGAGGGACCGTGTCAGTGTTGAACATAGGCTCGTAGGCTGATCAATTCCGGCATTTGTTCTTCCTAGGAAGTAGTTCTTTTACCCTGTCGGGGAGAGCACGAAGAGTGATTCAATCATAGTTGGCTGAACTGGCTGGCGTGGTCCGATGAGCTGGTTTGTAATTCTGTCCTGAGTTGTCCTTGGCTGATTCGTCCCTTTGGTCGAGATGTTCAGAAGGTGTTCTACAGAACAGGAAGAATGCCGTCATGGTAGGACCCGATTATCGCTGGTCCTGTTTGACAAGAAAAGCCAGGTTCTGCGCGTCGTTTTCTCTGTCGTGTCCCTGCATAATTATTACCAGGACGATGGATGACCCTCGGCCCACCAGCTATGGCAGCTATGGATACAAAAAATGATGGTCAAAATGGCGCGGGGACCTATCTCCATTAAGAGGAGGGAGGGTGTATGCTCCGGCTCTTTCCCTTTCTTTGTATGCATGCCGGCATTTGTTTGTTTGCTCCCCTCGTCTTCTTTTTTATCTATCCATGGCCCCTTGATTTCCTTGTGGAACCGTTCCCCTCGTCCCTGAATGTTTTTTCTGGTCCACGACCCGCGCGCCTATCGGCTCAACAAAAGCAAAGCGATCAACAAGTGCCCTGGGTCTCTTGTCTATCGATAAACGATCTCAAAAAAAAGGGCGGGCTCGTGCCATGCAGACAAAAGTCTATACATCCAGTGCATCTGTAGCAAAACAGGGACGCCATAACAACTGGTACACAACGTGGCGACATTGCATACTGGCCAAACTCAGCTCAAGGGCTGCTGTTTCTCTTCGTGAGGTTGCGGTTGCTGCTGGGTCACTCAACATGCATTGCATTGCATTTTTTTTAAGGTGGAGACTAGACTACCAT